TCAGGACACGCTGAAGGAGCGTTCGTCGACAATGAATATCCTCATATCTTGGATAAAGGCGCATGCCGGCATTCAAGGTAATTGAGGAAGCCGACAGGCTAGCAAAAGAAGCAGCTCGCAATATCGATACTGCACAATGCGTAATTACCAAACTTCCGTGGTCTCACCTTAAAAAAGTGACAAGGACAGCAACTCAGCACCAGTGGCAATGGGAATGGGATTCTACCGAACAAAGCAGGAAGACCTATGAATATTACCATAAAGTTTCGCTCGATCGTCTCGAATCATCCCCACAAATAACGAGATTTGTGACGGGGCACGGGCCTTTCCCCTCCTATTACTATGAGAGAGGAATTGCAAATACCGAAAGTTGTGTCTGTGGAGGCATTGGTATACCAGACCATTACTTGACCCAATGCCCTCTAACCGCACAGTGGCATGTGCAGCTTCCGGAACAGGCAACTTCTCATAAGCGTTATCTGATCAAACAGCCAGCATTTCGCATCAAAATATGCAAGATAATGCAGAAACTGGAGGAATTGGGAACAGATTTGTGCAGTGTGGAGTAGTTCCCTGTCAATCTCTCTTCTCTCTCTCTTCTATCTTTTTTTTTAATTTATTATTATTATTATTTTATTTTTATTGTATATATTATGAAACATGTATGTATTACGGCCCACTGTATATATTATGAAACATGTATGTACTATGACCAATGAAAATTATTATGAACTACTATGTATGTATTATGTAACAGGCTCAATATATTATGAACTATGTAAGCATGTATATGTATGAACTATATAAGCAAGTATTATGAAAGATCTATGTATTATGAACTACTTGTATATAAGCATGTACTATGAACTATGTAACTATGTAAACATATATTATGAACTATGTAACTACGCAAGCATGTATACAGGACCAATGTATGCCCTTATAGGCCCCATGAGGTGTTGCCCCGAATAGTTGCGGAACCTGGACTAGACCCGAATAGTCTTAGTAAGCCGCACGGGTGTCCAGATTCTGCTCTCAACTCAACTCAACTCAACTCATAGATGACTGCAGCAAAGCGTGTTAACAGGATGAAAGCTTAAGCGAAAAAGAAAGGAATGCCGCAGTAGTAATAATTAGTAATTAATAATAAATTAACTTTTGCTTCTTTCGAAAGTAATTTTTTAGCTTTTGCTACCAGTATGCTTAAGTTTTAAAGTAATATGAATTAAAATTCTTTTAATTTTATATTTATATTAAGTAATTAAGTAATAGAAAATATTTTTGTTCGTTTTTAATAATGTAAGGCAATTAGAGTTGTTTGGATAATCTTTGTCTTATTAACTAAAAATTACATAAATGTTGGCACTCGCATTAATGAGACGGACAAACCTGTCTGTTCTTTCATTGCTGTTCTCTGTTTGGATTGTAAGCTGATAAGAAGCACCACAATCACAGTGCTTTAAATTCCTCTTCTCTTACTAAGACTAGAGTGGAAAGTCCGTAGGTAGGATAACTGATAATAAATTTCATAAAATGTCAGCCTTGTGATGGAGAAAGTGATGGACGATTGCAATGAGCAATTTACAGACTCTGAGATTTTCAACTATAGTGTGGTATACGCAGTTAATTTGATATTTATTTATTTATTTATTTTGTAAATCTAAGAGGGTCATAAAGGCAAACTTCGAGAATCTCTTATTGTCCGAAAATTAGAGCCTTGAGAAACGAGGCTTTTCTACCAAGTTTTCAAGAAGGAAAAGCAACTGAAATCTACATCTTTTTAAATGCGTCTTATCTTGGTGCCCTTTCATAAAAAATATTAATTCCCAAATTAAGGAAAGATAAATTTATATGATGAGATTTTCTTAACATTCATAGATTCTTTATAAGCTATCTGTAGGCAAGGAGGAAGCTGTTATATATTTTATCAGTCAATAATTTTCACGATTAATAAATATAATCATTCTCTTTTCTTGGAAGTGGCTTTGTAGTCCAATCAAAAATTCCAGTTTTATGGTTTATTTTTCAATCTAACTTACGTATTCACAATGGAATGAGTAACTTTGCTAAAACTTTCGAAGTGGACTAAACAGACGCCGCATAATGAATCAAATGATTAACTTCGTAAATTAACACGTTTTAGGAAATATGATAAGCTGGGAATTTCAGAATCCACTGTGAATACAAAGAGGGAGATGCATAATTATCGTCACTATTGTTCCAGATATGCCATTCTTTGCATTTATTTACATTGTTATAAATTTTGTAAGCGGCTGGACCATCTACACTACAGGCACCAGCAAGGGATAACAGAAGCCTAGCAACGCGAGTATTATGGCTGTTCCATAAGAAGCAGTCAAAATTGTGCACTATCTCTAGCAACAAGTTCTGCGGGATAGGACTGTCATGGAACGGAATATTGCAGCATAAAGATATTATCCTTGTCGTTACTGATCTCTGTCTGCACGATCTGATTTTTACTGTAAGATGTGGGTCTTTTTGTTACTGTAAGATGTGGGTCCACACGGACACTATACATTTACAAACACCCATGCCTCGGCCCCTTCGATACCGCAGTAGGCCACTATACCGTCTGGGCGGCGTTTAAATTTATGTCAGAAAGGAATGTAGATAAGTACATTATTTCATGTCCCTAGTTGGGGGGGGGAATAGATTCACGTATGAATTGGTTCCGGTGTTCTGCATTTTTGTTTGAATAAAATACAATGAAAATGAACATTTGTAAACATAATAAATATAAGTAATATTATCTTTTGCTGCAGTGAAATATTTATTACATATTTTTAATTACAAAGACATCAATATTATGCTGCTACAATACAAGCAGTAACAGTACATGCAATCATATTACTTATCCTTAGAAGAAGTTAAAATGACTCATTTCTTCTCATTTATTTTCCACTACCTGTTCCTCATCATCTTATATATTTACAGTAGAGCAAAATAAAAAAAGTCCTTGTAACTTATAATAATGCAAGCTATCTCTAGAAATGAAAATCTCTCCTTTAATTGCTTGGCGTGTGGGCAAGTAAAGGTAGACAACAAAGTATCAGCTGTAGTTCTGCTTATATTCAGAACTACCAGTACACATGAGAAACCATAATTTTTAACAGCCAGCGGTTTCTGATAGTTATTGCTGCCAATTTGGAAACGATGAAATCTCTTGAAATTGCGATATAATCCCTGCTGCTTCCGTATCTATAAATAGTTCTCATGCGATCTGTTTCAGGTACAAGACCGTATGCTGACAGGAGCTCAACTGTTGCCGAATGAAAGACAGTCACCCTCTGAACTCCTTCAGATTATCGAGAAACATTCAAAGACTATATGCCAACGAGGTGTCGTTGGAAAAAAATGAATTAAAATTATAAAATGTCATAAATAATTCAATTGTAACGGATTTGATTTTTGAAATTAATGTGATGCTAATGCATATATAATTTTATGCTATTATATACATTTAATTATGCTATACATGGGGAAAAAAGAAGAAAAAATTCATTAATTGCGTATTATATTTGCTGCAAAATTATAAATAATCGACGCAAATGATTTCAGAATCAACTGCAGTAGTGTATTAAAACCTTTCATAGTGAAATAGTTTATTCAAGGTTTTAATTTATAATGGTGTTTTCATTCTTAAAGTTTTTTTTTTTTTTTTTTTTTTTTTTCATGGAGTGAAATAAAACTGTGCAAGTGGAATTACACATTTCTTTCTGAAGTTTTATCCCTTTCTTAATTTTGAAAAGTGTGATTTATTAACTGTTGTTTTTTCGCAGTGCGAGAAACATACACACATTCATGCAGATTCTTCATTATTTAATTTCTTTAAATATAATGCAGAGTTCTAATATTTGATGGGAACAATTTGAAAAATAAAACGCCGTTTATAGTGAACCAACACAAAATGCAAAACGAAATTAATACCCTTCTGGGTAAATTTCCCCTTTGGGCTAATAAATACTTTATCTAAAGATTATTTCAACATATAGTTATATGTTTTCAATTTCAACAGTTACTGCAGTACTTAAGTTACAAATATATAGTTGTATTACTAAGCAGATTTTTTTAAAAAAAAAATTGTATCAGCATTTCTAATGCATCCAAACATACATCTTGATTTTCCAAAGCACGAAAAACATAGATACATTATATCAAGGATAATACTTTTTTTCTCCATTTCATGAGAGTTAAGAGTCATTTTAACTTCTTCTAAGGATGATAAGTAATATGATTGCATGTACTGTTACTGCTTGTATTGTAGCAGCATAATATTGATGTCTTTGTAATTAAAAATATGTAATAAATATTTCACTGCAGCAAAAGATAATATTACTTATATTTATTATGTTTACAAATGTTCATTTTCATTGTATTTTATTCAAACAAAAATGCAGAACACCGGAACCAATTCATACGTGAATCTATTCCCCCCCCCCCCAACTAGGGACATGAAATAATGTACTTATCTACATTCCTTTCTGACATAAATTTAAATGCCGCCCAGACGGTATAGTGGCTTACTGCGGTATCGAAGGGGCCGAGGCATGGGTGTTTGTAAATGTATAGTGTCCGTGTGGCATGGGGGCACTCTAAACATGCGGCGAGCTGAAAGTTCTCTCGAGAGGTTGGTTGATAGCAGTGCTAAGCGAAGTCGTACTGTCACCTGTCTGGTGCTCAAAGCTCTTGGCAATGACAGGCGCAATCTAGCACTGCTTGCCACGATGAATTTCGTGCGCTTGTTTTGATGTACAGTCAGACAAGTGAGATAATTCACAGTAACAACAACAACATATAAACTTCAGTTAATATTAAACTGCAGTCTATTAGTACTTTTGTACATTAATGTAACCTTCATACATTATTAGCCTCACCCCAAAAATATTGCTTTCGAGTTAACACTTTTTCATAAAGTTAATGAACCAAAATTTTAATCTAGAATTATTTTTCATTAATTGTTTTTATTTGTGGTTGTGTAGCTCATATTGGACCCCGAAGTGGAACGGTGTCTGGAGGCAGCAATAAAAAAGGGAATTTAGGCTCTGGAAAAGAAACACTTCGCTTACGAGCAAAAGGACCAGCAACGATTGAAAAAGCAGTATGTATCTTCAGTGATCATTTTTCTGTATTTAGAATGTCAGACAACGAATATTCTAGCGTTTCGTTTATTAATATTTTAACATACATATATGTATTTTATTTTCACTTTTGTCTAGATCAGTAACCTTTTGTATCATTTAATTTCTAAATTAAATGTTAAATTAAATTAAATCTAATATTTTTGTATCATTTAATTGTGGTCTAAATATTTACTATTTACTGCTTTTATTTATTACTACTTATTTATTATAGCTATATGTCTTTTAATTTCAGATTTTTAATTGTATATGTTTCGCAAGTTGTTAAATTTTAATGCAAGTTAATTCAAATATTTGTGCAAAAATTATGATGATTTTGTAAATTTTGTGTGTTTTTAAATAGCCAACTGATGTTGTGCAAGCAGCGGTGGAGAAAATCAATAGTCTCTTGGAATCTTTTATGGGTATTAATGACTCTGAACTTGGTAAGTGACATTAATACTTATATTTGCGAATATTTTTATCATAAAAGTAATACACATCCAAGTATCTTAAATTTTCGTAAAGTTTTTTTTAGAACTAAATAGTACTTTACCCCCAAAGATTATAAATCACGTTCAGAAGCTTAAACAATACACAACGGTGGTCCTTCGTTATAATGACCGTTCTGTTGCAATGACCATTACCAAAAGTCCTAAAATAATAGGACTATATTAAATTCACTGTCGTTACAGGGACCACTCGTCATAGCAGATTTTTTCTTTAGGATATGAGGGGCCAGTATAATGAACGTCAGTTGTATATATAACTGAACTCCGTCACAGCGAAGAGCTTTCTGACAGAAAAGCATTAATAAGCTAAAAGTTATTAACATCTCAGACAGTCAAACAGCATCCACTTCTTTTGGAAATATTGAAGAAGTTGAAGAAATCCTTTTCGTAACTGAATATACTCACATAATCTTTATAAGCAATAATTATTGTTAATTTTCTCGAAGCTGTTTCTGATGTTAATTAATTATAAGCTTCTTTCAAATCCGTTTCAATAAGTCTTATTCTTCACAAAACTATTATCAGCTCTTATAAGGAAACTTTTGACGTTTTCAATACGGGTAAATTTCCATGGCAGAGTGCTCCGCGAAGACAATCTCTTCCTATAGGCAGATAGCCATAGTGTGCGTTGCCGTGACTGAATAATGCAATCGAATTCATCTAAACGGCTACTGATCTGAATTAACGTCATATCCCATTTGAATTAGTATTTTATCGGTACTATGTGTGCCACCCAATCAAATACACGTAAACCGATTTCATTACTTTAAAATTTGCTTTCAATAAAACGCCTTAGAAAAATCTAGTTCACGTTGCATGTTCAGACATTTTAAAATTTAAGCTGTGTTAATTACTTATCTGTCTTTGATATCTTTCACTTCAGAAAATCTTGGTCCAAAAACTAATTTTCTGCTGTTGTTTATCTTCTAATGGATAGTATAAAGTGTTCAATCTAGTTGTTTATCTTCTAATGGATAGTATAAAATGTTCAATCTAGTTGTTTATCTTCTAATGGAAAGTAAATATATATATAAAATTAATAAAGTAAAAATATATATATATATAAAATGTATAAAGCGTTCGATCTAATTTTGACCATCGAAGTTTCAATTAGCTAATGACACTTTACAAAAACCTGGCGATAAAAAAATGCATTTTTATTATCATATGTCACTGATACGTTTTTCTTTCTGCGTTTTTCTTCGTTCTATTATCTGCATTTTTTTCCCAGTAAATGTAAGTACTATAATTGATGATGGCTCCTAATTAGGTAAATGGAATTTATCAAAAGTCCTTTTCATATTAAGCATATAGTGTTGCTAGTTTTCATTTTCATTTTTTAATATTTTATGAATTATTGCTAATTTAGTATACATAAGTTAGGAATTTGTGCTTTAATGTATTAAAGTTACTTCTGTTTCCAGTATCACTAAGTTACAGAGAATGAACCCACCTGTAGTACAGTGAATTCATGGAGGACTTTTAAGATAAACATGCTGTACCTACGTTTAACAACTGGCGAAAACCGCAAAACTGCCCACGCAGCTAGACCGATGGCCTAAACTCGAATCAAGTTCACATGTATACAAGCCAGTTTCCTTTAGAAAGTCCTCCACGAAGGCTTCCCTCCCCTTAGGCAGATAACCCTAGAGGCTTTACCATAATCACATAAACCAAACGAACCCAGGTCGATCTACCAGTGTTCAGCGACTTTTCCAGAATTGGAAGATTTAGAAGTTGGTGTATAGTACATATGGTATCAGCTTTATTTTACATGAAAGAAACCCAGTCTCAATTATGTTCGAAATTGCGGCATAATAACGTGAATTATTTTGGACTATAATGCTAAAATTTTAAATACCGATGAAAAAATAATTCAGAGAAGTCATTAATCCGTTCCAGATCCTTGGACGTACACCAAATGATTTTTTACAAAAATAAAGAGGAAATAATTAACCCGTTCTTAGAAAAAATAAAAATATCCTATTATTGTCATTATAACACTATTTCATACTCAAATACAAGTGCAGTGGGTGAAATATGTACTGCACATAAATGAAACACTCCACAAGATATTGTACATAAATGCTTTTCGGCTATCCTGATCAAAAGCAATTTTCTAACGTTCCGTAACGTGTCTGATATTTTTTTTACAATCGATATCACTATTTTAAATAGGCTATCGTAGTGAAAGGAGTGATATCGAGGAGCCTATTTAAAAGCATCTTTGTCTTTCACGATTGTAGACAGCATAGTACTCGGTCTACGGTATGCAAGAGCTAAGTCTCGGATAAGCATGCCATCTTCATACTTTTTAACAATCTCTTTTCTCCGTGGTGATCCTAATAACTTTCTTCGTTCTTGACTTTCTTCATTCCCCCAAATGCGCCAATTTTGCTTATTGACGAACACATCCAAATGAAAGTGGACTTCGTCGCTAAACCAAACCATATTCACATCATATTCCTATTCGTCAATTCTCTCGACAATAGTTTGTCGAAAAACAACCGCTGTTCCATGGTCATGGGACTTAATGGCTGATGGGTTTGAATTCTGTATGGGAAGATATGCAGTTCTTCAACAACAATTTGTCGCAGGGTCTCCCAGTTGATTCCCACCTGTTGAGCAGCTCGTCTGATCGATTTTCTTGGGCTGGTTTGAAACACATCGCGTGTCTTATCGATGTTTTATTAACTTCCCTAAAACTCAGTCTTAATGAATTCACGAAAGCTTTATGCGAAAAAACGCAAAATCCCTTGAACATTCAGAGTCATAGCGCGATTTGTTTACTGAATAATAGTAGCAGACGTACTGATGCTCATGAACAGCCGTAGAACTGTTTCGAAAGGGGTAAACAACTTTAGTGTGTGCGACTCATAGAACTCGAGTCGTATTCTAAACAAATATCGTATACCAAATAAAAACTTTCGCCTTCATGCAGGATGTATACAAAGTTTGATATATTTCAAAGCGGACGTATACCGAGACAACACTACTGTTATAATGCTGCATCTGATTTGATTTTGGCCTATTTTAATTTTAGAGTTAATAATTAATTCTTGTTACATTTTTCAATCAATTGTCTTTCAAATCTCAAATGACTGATTATATAAAAGTTAAGTGCGAGGACAAGTCGAATTAATAACTTAAGGTTCTTAGCTGACGTATGATCAAAAGCCAAGGTCTAGTTATTTTTTTATACTTTAATTATATTAAAAGCCCTGATATATGATTACATTTTATTGGATTATTTTAATAATATTCCCAATAAATAAATATTCTTAAAAGATAGAGAGTTAAAATTAAATAAATAGAGGGTGACAATTATTGAACTATATGAAATAAAACGGAAATTATATAAAAACTACTGAGTGCACAAACTTTAATCAACATGTAAACGTCACTGCACATACTCGGATTTAGGTTATGACATGTTCGATATGCCTGCTATCTTTGGCTACGGTGTGGTGCAGACAATAGCAAAATTCTGCATGACCCGCTGAAGTGCCGGATCATCAATGCTGTCGATGACCTCCTGAATAGCAGTTTTCAACTCAGCTTATGGATTTGGGGTTATTTCTGTACACATTGTCTTTAATTAGCCCCACAGAAATTAGTCACGCGTGTTCAGATCAGGAGAATATGGCGGCCAAGCGAATCCCATTCCAGTGGCCTCTGGGTACCCGCAGAACCAGAATGCGGTCCCCAGAGTGCTCCTCCAGGACATCAAACACTTTCTTGGTCCGATGGGGTCGAGCTCCGTCTTGTATAAACCACATCTTGTCGAAATCAGGAGCACTGGGATAAATAATGGGGATGAAATCATTTTCCAAAACCTTTACATATTGTTTAGTAGTCGCCGTGCCATCAGCGAATATCGCACCGATTATTCCGGGAGAGGACAATGCACACCACACAGTCACTGTTGAGGGAGAGACTTCTCGATTGCGAATTGCGGATTCTCAGTCACTCAAACGCGCCAATTTTGCTTATTGACGAACACATCCAAATGAAAGTGGGCTTCGTCGCTAAACCAAACCATATTCACATCATATTCCTATTCGTCAATTCTCTCGACAATAGTTTTGTCGAAAAACAACCGCTGTTCCATGGTCATGGGACTTAATGGCTGATGGGTTTGAATTCTGTATGGGAAGATATGCAGTTCTTCAAAAATTTGTCGGAGGGTCTCCCAGTTGATTCCCACCTGTTGTGCACCTCGTCTGATCGATTTTCTTGGACTGGTTTGAAACACAGCGCGTGTCTTATCGATGTTTTCACACTTGTTTGTAGACCGACATTGCCAATACTTTTACGCCGCAGAAGAGGGCTATAAAATTTGCCTCACAGCATTATTGTCCTCCTTGCAGAAGCGATCTAATGCTGCTGCGTCCCCTCCGCAGGAGGGCCGGCAGAACAGACTGCTACAAACACATGATGAAAAAGAAATTCACAAGGCTGTTTACAGCGATGCTTAAGTCCTCACAGGCTACACAGTCTTGTGCTAAACACTGACTAAGTGAGATCACTGATGGTCCTGTGTTCAGATAAAGATTAGAGATTACTGGTTGTAAGTTTAGGACTTAACAAGCACTGTTACAGTATTACAATCTAAGATACATGAGACTGCAGATAAATGACTTAATATTTAGAATGCTTATCATATTTTATACCACTTTCAGACTAACTTCACAAAACACTATTGACAATGCATTGAAGGTGCTATTAATATTACTTACTCTATTGAATGAAGCAATTATGATAATAGAATTGAACAAGGTAATAATTATAATGCAACTGAAGCGAAGACTGAATTCCGTTACACACATTGCCAATACTGTCATCACCAACACTACCAGTTCTCTCAAACTTGCGAATCAAATTCTTGATTGTTAGCGCACTTGGACCGTTTGTCTTCAGCTTGTACTCGGTCGCAAACTTCCTTTGAGCCGCAATCGGGCTGTTATTGCTCACATAATAGGCCTTCACAAGTGCTATACGCTCAGGCACGCTGTCCCGTGACATTTTCACTTGAAAATGGTCGACAATAATAAGCGTGCGCATGCTCATACTAGTTCCCATCATGCCCTGAGGCCAACCACGAAGTTTGAACTTCATCATGCAAACCGTTCAGAAGTTATGACAGTTTTATTTCATATAGTTCAATTATTGTCACCCTACATAAACTATTATCCTTTTTGAAGCTCCATTCCCCTGCTTCAAAATCTGAGTTACTTTATTATAATAAGAAAAGTTACGGCTTCGGCCGGTGAAGAGAAATGCTTTCCTGGAGAACATTTTAATGGAAACTGGCCCGTATATACGTTACAAAGTAGCAGAACTAAGAAAATCTCTCCCTCTTTAAGGACTTCAGAAATACTTTAATGTACTCGTAAAATGAAGCGTTAGTAGCTAAGTATGTAGTAAAATAAGAATTAATACGTTTCTAATTAAAAACATTTGCAGAATCTAATTAAAAATTGAGGCATTTTGATAATAAATTAATAAAGATAACAAACATGCGTAAAAAATAATGCAAATTAATGGCTAAAGCTAATAAGCTAAAGAGTTCTACGTTGCAATTAATTAACTAATTATTTTTACTACACTTGTTCTTACCGAAAGGCCCCTTTTATTAATTTTATTAGTATAGAAGTATGAAATAATCATATTGACAGTTTATGCTATCCAGAACTAATAAAGTACGGGTATCTGCCTTTTATATAATTAGATTTTATTTCCTCATCAAAGTAAAAGCATTGAGAGACTTCAAATTGTTCGATATATTCCGTTCAGAACAAAGGTATATTAATCTCTAACGCACATAGTACAATAAACTGAATAGTCCCAACGATATAAAAAGTCTTTTATACACTTGTGGCAAATACTTACTGTTTTTATTTTATAACATCAAACGGATTTCGTTTTCCATCAGATGAACAATGGAAGAAAATCTGGCTTTCGCATATAATGAATCTTGATGACAAACATTAGATCATTCCTCTGATAATTTTCATTTTTTCTGCTTTGTGGTCAACTATTAATCATACAATTTACGATTATAAATGATGCTGCTAACATCTCTTATCCCTGATTTGTAAAGACTATTATGCAGAATCAACTGCGCCCTTGCTGGATTCGAACGGTGGATCTTCCCCGTTGCTGGGTAAATGTCTAACCACTTGCACCACCAAACCACACACGAGCGAGTGCTATAATTCCTTATATTCTTCCCTGCTTCAATGGAAAGCGATCCAATCGTCCGATTCCAGCTGGTGACAAATTATTATCCTTCATATTTTAGCTCGTACATGCCTCTATATTCTAATTACTTCTGGATGTGTTAGCCACTTGTACCATAGTAGCGCGTAAAGGCGAATGCGTTAATTCCTTATAAACTCTTAACTAACATCTTACAGTGACTTAAAGTTCCAAAATAGAAGTTCATTAAAATGCGAATTTACAGTCTTTTAAATTTATAAAAATAAATGGAAGAAACGGTGTTTCTATAATCTGTAGATTAAAACATTGATTGGTTCATTACGGCTACGTACTCGAGGGGTGTGAGGTAACATATTATTGAGGAGCCAAAAGTTACTTGTTCATTATGTGTGTACCGTGTTTCCTAAAATGATAGATCCATTCTAGAAACTGAATTTGATATCAAATAAAAAATTATGAAGAAGCGTGAAATCAAAATAAATTCACTAAAATGCAAGAACTGAATGATATATACTAATTTATTGTGATAAAAATATTTGATCGGAAGTTTCTTTTATCAAACTTAGATTTGAATTTAATTCAGTATGGGTTGTGGAAAATATTAATAACAGCAGAACGACGCAATTCTGCTAAACGGTATTGAAACAAACTGTCGATTCGAGGTGTTTCTAAGTTCATTAATCGTTCCCCACATGGCGTTTGCTAATAATTTAAAGCTGAATAAATTAGGTGGCAAATAAAAAGTATACCGGCCATTGTTGCGTTGAGATTTCTCGCCAAATTAGTGGTTCACTTTTAAATCACAGGCAGATCCATCATCTGCAGACGCGAAAGTCTCTAGATTTATAATGCATTGCATTTTGAAAAATCTTTAAAAATATTCTCCACCAGAAAAAAAAAAGTCGTCCTTGTCTGACCAAACATCATAACATAATATGTTGTAGTTTACCTCATTTATCTGACAGTAATATCAGAACAAGCCCATAAAATTCGTCATGGCAAGGAGTGCAAGATTGCGCTTGTCATTGGAAACAACCTTAAACACCATACAAGTGACAGTTGGCGAAGAAGGGTTCTGAAGAACCATTACCAGTTACCAATTCATTGACATATCTTGAACTGTATTCCATTAGAAGACATGCAGACAGGCCAAATGTGGCTCGTTCCCCCCGAATCATCCCTGGTATCAAGTTGATTGTCCTGGAAGATCTCTTGCTATTGATTGCGATAGATGTGTTCAGACAACATTTTCCCGATTCTTCAGTGGACACCTGAAAGGACTTTACTTTTGAGATAGGTCTCAAGATGCACCCAATTTGTTCTAAATGTCAAAATCAACTGGCATCACTAGCACATATCCTTAAGTGCCTGGAGTTGTCTCTTGATGACTTTTACAAGTCTCCTAAGATTGTTTTTGATTTTCTGAAAGTGGATGAACTTGTGGACCTTGTCTAGTATATTCCTAGACATGGAGATTAGTAACAACAACAACAAGTGACAGTAAGACTTTGCTTAATTTAGCCCCCAATTTTGATGCAGAGCGCCCCGGGGAAATGGGCTCGAGGGTTCCCCCTTATTTCCCTACCACTAACCTCTTGAGAGGACTTTCAGCTCGCCACATATTTAGAGTGCCTCCATGTCACATAGACACTATTTACAAAAATCCATGCCTTCTTCGGTATTCGAATCCTGACCCTTCAGTACATCACTCAGCTTCGCTAACCACTATCCTGGTTAGGCGGCATAGCATAGTCCTCTTTTCTAGAGTCATGACAGTGCAATACAAAAAAAGGGGCTTCCAGACCTGGCTTAATAATTGCCTTAACAACTCTCCAACCCCTAGAGGTGATCCAAGAAGGCATAACCCTCCCCTGATCAACCCTGGAGGACTTATGTGATACACACAGTCTGGGTATATGATTTGCAAGTCAAAGGTGGACGTCTAGCATTCACCATCAAAATAAAGAATACACCATAGACCATTGCCAAGTATTGATCAAGGGGATCCGAACCCCTAATGACAGCCTTCAATATCAAGCCACATAATCGTCCCCATAATCAAGGGGAAGACAAAACAATACCAGTATGGTCCCTGTTGAGCTTGAATCTACCACCGAATAAACGATAGTTCTAGTCACTGTGAATACTAATTATTTATCCCAGAAGTCGCTGCCTAGATACAGGTCCTAGCCAGAACCTTGGGAGTTGTCCCTCTCCCCAGTCAACCCGGGGGGGGGGGGAATCTAGAGTCATCACAAATAATTCTAACCATCAGGAATATGTGAATTCAAATTATCATTTCAAATTATATCTCATTTTGAATTCATACCTTGTGATATTTAGCCAAATCAATTCTTTCTTCTTTATGATGCTTGGTCAGACAAGGACAACATAACATTTTTTGATGAAGAATATTTTTACTGTTTTCCAAAATGTAATGCATTGTAGGTTTAAGGACCTTTGATACGTTGGAACTTGCATGATACTAGCAAGTGGGTCACTTTTTTGGTGTAAAATCGTTCTTTCTTGACATATTGTCAACATTAAATAATGAACAGCATATTTGTTGTTTTCCATATAATCCATTGAATTTTAAATAATTAGAAATAGTATAACAGGAATATATCACGAATCACAAAATCCTTAGAAGCGACAATTGTTCCCAGTACAATTAATAAAAATTTTATACTATTAATATTTTTCATATCGTACAATGAATCAAATTCAAACTAAACCGACACTGAGAAACTAAATTTTAACAAAACAAATCGTATGTCATATTTAAGTCGCATTTCCTTCGGTTTTCGCCTCCTATTCGAAATTGTTTGAACGATAAACGATTCTATTATTTTGACCCAGTATTAAGATCAAATAATAAATAAATAATGATATTTTGTGCTGTGAAATTTAGTCAAAATTTTTAATGAAATGTTATAAGACCTTTCTAGAATATATACTGATTTCATACCTGCTTCATTAAAATGTTTGATTCGATATAAAACTCAGAATGGTTTTGGGGACACAATGTATATATAAAATACAAACGCAACATGTCAAATCTAAAAGCATCATGCATAGAAATTTGCAAAAAAAAGTACGTTCTAATCAAACAAAACTTATCCGAATTCAAATCAACTTAACACTGATATTCAGGCTTTAGATCTACAGCAGCTACTTTTCCTTTGTAAATACAACAAAGCATGGCATGCGAAAGGTAGAAAATACACGACTAATTAAAAAGCTAGTAATGCTCATATTCCAAATCATAAAATGGCGTTTACTTTCACAGCACTGCTCATTTCTCAGTTCATTTACATATTTTTGTAGTGTTCTGAAGGAAATTTTATGAGGAAATTGAAAGGAATGTAAAGATGACCTGTTGGAAATATAATTAAATCATATACGGCAGCTGAAATTTTATGACTTAATTTACTTAGATGTATAGCTTTCATTCTAAAAAGTAATATTTTTTTTTATTCCTTCTTAGCAACACAGATATGGGACCTTGGACATGACAAGGCGAATCCTCATGATTTTGTGACAGCCATAGATAGTTCAGATCTTGAAGCATTTGGATTCACAGATGATTTTATATTTGATCTGTGGGGCGCTATTAGTGATGCAAAAACAGGACGTCTGAAGAAAGATACTCATAGGACACCGATGTGAATTCATTTTTATGGCTTTGATGTCATTCTTTTAATGTGAACTACAAAACTATTTTATATCCAGGAAATTTCACTAAATTTAAATGATCTAATCAATGATGCCATTGTAAAACTTGGTTTCATTTATATAGAATGTTAGTGGCATTAATGGGTATATTATATTCATATGTCTTTTTATTTGTTCTGAATTTGCATTGTAAAATTTTATCTATCAAGTATACAAGAATATGATTTTAATGAAATGAAAGCTATTTTGTTAAAACAAATTTTCAAATAAGCTGTAATATTTTAAACTCGAATTATGCAAAACTTGTATTACATTGAGCATACTGCAGTGCTTTTATGTTGCCATCTCAGTTATAGAAAAGCTGATATCATAGTGCCTCATGTACAATTTAGCTCTATGTAAAACAGTTTATATCATACAAGCAAATATGCAGCCATTATTATGGCTTGCTTTACTGTTTTACTTTATATAAAATTTATCAAGGTTCCTTGCAGTATGTTCCTTTTCTTTATGCCTGCACCATTTATTAAAATGTAAATACTTTGTAAATTTGGCGCTTCGAATAAAAGAAAATTATTGAATTTAACATTTTAAAGACCCCTACTTTTGTAAATATCACCAAACATAGAACAGAATAATTTAGCTGTATATAATTTGCATTATGCATTGTCATATTGTAACTATGACAGAAAAATTTTGCAAATTTTTTTTTATATTCCATATACTTCTTTTTCCATTCAGATAAGATTTATTAATTTTTAGATGAAAAAAAAATCTTATCCAAAGATTATTTTTTAGCATTAAGAAGATTAATAAATTTTGAATGCTTTGTTCACAGATTTGAAAGAAATACTGTTATAATTTTTCCTTAACCATATCTTACTCGGTTTTAAACAGGTCGCACCCATGGATTATACTATGAGCTATATGAATTTCTTTCGAAATTTTACAGCTGGCAGTTTTTAACATACCCATTATACGTAAACCAAATTTTGAGTTTGTCGTAGATGATGATAATGATGAATGTGATGAAAGCTGTATGTTATACAAAAGAAATAATCGTGGTTATTTGAACATTTCCTTATTTTTTTTCATGACACTCATTAAAAATACACAGCTAAATTATCAAAATGAGCAACCTCCACTCCATAATACTTAACTTTCATTTCTACATTTACAGAATTGTAATTAGCAATAGAAGAGAGACGACGTACAACACCTTAGCAGAATAGAGAAACGTAAAAAGAGAGCGAAGATTACTTACAATATCAATACCAGATTAAGAACAGCGAAGTTATATTTTCCGCTTTGTTTCTACTGGATGGTTAAAAACATTCGTTTACATTTATTTCATTGCTATTGATTAAGAGATTTCATTTTCACTTTTACCATTATATAAATACATGCATCATTAGAGTTACATAAGATACATATGACAGGAATTAGTTTTGAAATGACACCCCAGACATAGATTTATTACATGCATACTGTTATTTTTAGAAGAGTAAAATAGCCAACAAAAAAAGAGTTTTAAAAAGCTATGAAAAGTATTACAATTTCATCTTAAAAATAAAAGTCAAAACAAAGATGAATAAAATTCTGTTCTTTCTATATGAAGGTCTAACCTTTCTTCGCCAGTTAAAACTTACCTAACTGAGTAAACGTACATTAACAAAACTTTCATAAACGGGATTTTTAAATGAAAATTATTCTGTGAAAAGAGAAAACTTTTTAATAATTTACAAAACATTATATATAACAAAACTTTTATTTTATTAATCTCCACTGTTAAACGCTTTAAACAGAAACTTGTCAAGGAAAATGCGTTTTGAAGCTGTAATATATCAAGTTGATTAATGAGATCTGAATATATGTTTCGTTTTTCTGAATCATTTGAGGCTGAAAACCGCTTTTAAGTATGAAACTTTCATTTCAAAACAAAATTCTAAAAGTTCTCAAATGTTCAGGTCTTTTCCCTATATGCATTCGTACTCGAATAATAAAAAAAACTAAAAGATGCTAAAACAAACTAATTAGTCAAACTAAATTAAATCAAAAAGAATATTCTAAATCAAGAATTAATGATTTAATTTGTTATTCAAAGTTGAAAAATAAATTGTTCAGTCGTAAAATTTTTTTTTTAGTTTGTTATATTTTGCCAAAAAGCAATATCTTTAAGCAATTGAATCATTCTCCTGGTATGGGGGTTAAAGGAAAGGTATGCTTGTCTTGTTTTTCATAATTTTCAATTAAAAATTTCTCATAATTATGTTTGCTCCAGTAGTTTATAGTATTTATGATTATCTTTTGCCATAAATTTTCAAAATTCACATAAAAGTTAATTTTTTGAATAAATGAGCCAGCCCTTGTATTATTAGGCTTTATATAATTCGTTAATACTATAAACTACTGGAGCGAAAGATTAAGGCACAATGCAATCTGCAACATTAACTGAGATAACTTTAGGCTAGCTTATACAGTCCGTTATACATTAAACGTGCATGCGTCAATGCATATGCACATGCATAAAGGTATTATGTGCATGCGTAAACGCTACGCATGTGTAGAAAGTCTGTAGCTTTCAGGTTCGGATTATAGACCATTCCGGATTATGGACATCCGGATTAAAGACTTTGTACTATATATATATATACCAGATAAAATATGTAAAAGGCAAAATTCTAATTTTAATTTGCAGTTGTCTCTTCAATCTTCCAATTTAATTTGACTAATTTTCCTCGTCTTAAAAACAGTAACTGCTTATAATAATTGCTCTCTGAATTGCATAATTTGAAAATTAATCCCTTTCATATGATTCTTACATAGTACTAATGATGCACACACATACATGTCTCAGCGAAAGTGATTTCAATTGGGAACCGATTTCTTTATTAGCAACCAACAGGGAAACTGGGAACAAAAATTCAAATAATTTTGAATCTAAATTTCATCTTAGATAACCTTGCACTTTTGACCTTGTTTGCTGTCCATCCTTGAACCTGTCACCATTGACCTTTCTCTTTTATCAATCATATTGTCATACAAGATATAACAGACAAATTTGTAATCAAGAATGAGCACACAGATTATGTCCATTACGATATATAATGCATATTAAGAACATGCCTCTCAAGAAAAAAGAAATATTAGATCGGTCACATTTGCAACAGTCTGAATCTTCTGTTCTAAATTATTACATGTATATGAAGAAATATATTTTCAATTCATTAGCGGATATAACACTGAAAAATATTTACAATGCAGCACAAAAATATATACCAATAATTAGATTTCTTTTATATACTTATAGTAAAAATAACACTTTAAGGAGCATTTGAAGAGAATAAACTCAATGAAAAATTTTTCTGTGTTAATTGTACTCAGTGCCTCTAGCTGCATCATATGCAAAATAAAAATGAAGAAGATTAGCATTTAAAATTTGTAAGCAATACTATTTCTAAGCAAAAAAGGGGGAAACAGAAAAAAATTATCTTCAGGAAATTCATTTGATATACACATATATAACCAGCTGTTATTATAATTCCTTATTTAAAAAAAAATAGCAATGTATTAGGTGAAAGTTTAACACCTTCATTACCAGAATTAACACGGCAGAACTAATACCAAGTCAGAAGAAATGCTAAGACATGATACATTAGAGGTTCCTTGCAACAGCATTCCTTCATTTTCTAGTTCTGTCAATGAAATTCATAATTGTTTAAATGTTCACACTTTTTTATCAATAAATTAAATAAGATTCTGAAAATAGGCTTATTAAATTTTAGACTTTTCATACAAATTAATATCAAGTAACACCTTTCCAGTAAATTTCAGACTTTAATTAGAAAATGAGTTTTTTAACTTGGAGCAATCAAATTTTTTAAAATATATGAAAATAGAATATTGATATAACCACAGAAGAATTAAACTATCACGATAACATAAAATCTTGTCTTAGCATTAAAAACTTGAATTTTCTATTTCTTTCCTCTTTATCTGGACATGGCTTTATTCATTAATTTAAGAAAATTCTTAATTCATATATTAATGGACACATGCATGAAGTTGTTGAGTATACTTGATGAATGTTCTGATTTTTTGCAAAATTCAAATGGCAAATACCTTTCATCGCCAAATTATTGTTCTTCTGTAATTTGATTCCCAGTATCATCATGCCTTTTTAACACTTTGGAAATATATTTCAGATTAAGATCTTATCAGTTTGGATAATGTAACTGTGTACAATTACAGTTATATCTTCTCGTGGATATGTTAATCTTCTGCTGTCTAAATTTTTAATCAATTCATACTTTTTATTAATCAAATCTGTCAACTGCAATAAATAACTTTTACAATACGTACATTTCAGTTTGTTCTCACACAGTAGCAAGCAAAATTAGTTAGTAGACTAAATATTCATCCATAAAAATCAATACAGCATTCAGAAACTCATTGAAAATCCTTTTCTTAAAAACTGATTGACCTAAATGCTACAAATGTATCTGATACATAATTTGTTTTTGGATCAGTATAGGAAATTATAAGCATCAGTATAATCAACACATGGAATGGGTTCTGACATTGAAATTGATTTATATTTAAACTCCTAGAAACATAATTCCATCTTTAAGCAATACTACATAGTGCATGTAGTCAGTCATAAACCTTGCTGATTGTTCGTATAATCACATTATGAAATTTCCTAACAGAAAAGTTAATTTTATATGTTGTATGTGGGATGATTCGTGTGATGCATATTTTCAGTACGATGAATCATTGTTCTTTGCAACACTATTTCTTTTTCTCAAAAGAAACATAATTAAAACACAAACGCAACACATATTCTGACAGAAAAAAAAAAAGCAGCCAGAGCATGTCACTCTCAAGGGTGTAACTTTATTTAACTCAAATAAAAGTTAACAGACGGCACCACTCATGCTTACAAAATGTATAGCCAGCAGTTATGGCTTAAATGAAAGATACTGGATTGGCTTAACTAGGTGAAGTAAGTTAGTCTAATGGCTACAATAATTAAGTAACATGCAAGGCTGGCTATGCCATAAAGCTCCACGTGACAAGCTTAATGGTGAGAATAATGCAAGGCCACAGAATAACTGCTCTCATGAGAATCAAAATTAGCAATTAGGCAGAATACTTTCTAATTCTACCCTCTAAAACCTTTCTTTCAATACGCTCTCCTTTCTAGCTCCTTTGAATGTCGTGCAAACTAGAAATTTATATTCTGGCAAGAAAATGAAATTGTGGAAGATGGGAATAATTAACATAAATAAGTTAATTAACATAAATTAGCTGGTTAAAAATTAAACAAGACCTTACAAATATCACTCTGTAGTACACAGAGTGCAATCTGTATATAGCACACGGAGTGTAATCTGTGAATAACATGAAGGAAAATTTCCATAATTTGAAAGGATGCTTTGGAAAAGAGAAATATGAATTGTTATGATGCAAAGTGTGTATCATATTGAATACATCACTATGAATACACATCTGAACATTACTATGAAACTACAAATCATATAATTTTTCTTCTTCAAATAATATGTATTGAAGGTTATATTCAATACTCCTCTCACTGTCTTATCTTAAGCACCTTATAAATGTGCCCTTTATGAATAAATGGCAGGAGCAGTGGTCATCTCAAACCACAGGTAGACAGACGTATGCATCTTTCAGTTCTGTTGGATAATCAAAAAAGAGCTTTACAGCAACAGCCCCTTGCTAACAAAATTCCTAATGAGCAACTGTTTCTTTCACTGCTAGCCAAAGTGATCTGAAAATAAAACCTCAGACCAATGCCAATATGAAAAGTAGTAGGTCTTGATCAGTATGCATTGATTGCATCAATGCAGGGAAGATCATATTAAAAACCAAATGCTTTGAACTGAGTGGACAATACAGAAACCAGTCCTTATGCTCTGACAAAATTGTATGATATGTTAAATTCCTAAGCTTTTATATCTTGATGCAAATATAAAATTTCATTCTAAAATCTTTAAATTCTAGGGCATCAAGATGATTTTAATATTTAATCACAGTTCACCGATAGCCTGAGAGTTTAAAAATGCCATAAATTAACTACAATCAATCCAGTTTCCTAATTGATTTCTTAAGAGTTAATATTTTAAAGAATAATGCAATAAAGATACACATTAAAAAATACTATGCATTTAATTGAAGCACAATCAAATATTTTCTAAGATATATTTTATTCAAAAACCTTTAACAAAAATTTATTTATTTCATTACATCTCATATGAATCAAACACTTTGTCACATACTCATTAATCAATATTCAAACACACATTATATGAATATAAAAATCTTACAAAAATAATAGTTTATATGCATGTGAATGCATTTCTTCAACATTTTACATAAAATCATATTTATTCAACACCAGGCAGAATATATATAAAACTAAGTAACTGCACTTCCATTACATGATGTACATTTAAATGGAATTTTATATAAAATGAATAAATTATTATTAATTTATAAATATTTAATTACAATTTCATGCCATTATTTAAATGGAACAAGTAAAACTGAATCTTTGTTCATTATATAAGCAATGGATGAAATAAAAAATATCAAAACAGATACAACAAAAACAAGCCTGCTTTAGAAGGAGTTATAATAATTAAATAAAAATTAATCTGTAATGATGCTGCAATTCTGCTTCACTATGTTTTAGTGAAATACAATAAAAAATTCACTAATAGCAATTAAAATATGCTAACAGCTTAAAAAATATTATGGTGCTGATATGAGCACAATAAAACACTTTAGAAACTATCAAGCATGACTTGTGTATTTTAACATCATATAAGTAATAACAATAAAGTTGAGTTCTAAATGTTTTTAGTGAAAGAAAATCATTTTTACAAGACAAGTTCTTCTTAAGTTTAAAATTTAAAATTATTTTTCATATTATAAAAATTTTAATTGCAAGTGACATGATCAACCAGATTTCTGGTGTTCTCTGCTTGCAGGAACATTTTCACTATTTCCATTATAACAATCTCAAACACAAATAATCACCAATGTCTCACAGTAAATTCATTAATATTTATCTTCTGCTGTCTAAATTTATTGCAGAAGTAACATTTACAAGAAATAAATATTAAAGTAACATTTACAAGAAAAAAATTCAGATATAAGCTCTTGTTAAATCCCAAGTTATTTTCTTAAAGTGTAATTTCCTTCTTTCATGCAAAATTAACTCCTGCATGAATAACTCAAGAATATTTTCAAGCATTCACCAAAAATTAAAAAGTAAAAATTATGGCATCACTCAGATATAGAAAAAGCATTCAGAATTATGCAGCTAAAACTAAATACAGCTGAAAACATACATAATTAAAAACTGTTATAATATAAAAATGGCAATATTAGATACAGCTACCATCTCAATATAATAAACACACATTATATAATATTAATATTTAAATTTATATTGAAATACTTCCAGATCTGAAGTCTGTTTTGCCAATAGTAGCATTTACCAGGACACTGTTCCCAGAAGATGACAATTCAATAGCATGCTTAAATTTTGAGACCAAGTCATCTTTATCTTTACCAGACAAATAAATACCTTTTCCTCCAAGGGCTTCAACAATTTTGTGATAGTCATTATACTGAGTGAGAAAAAGACAGTTATTTAAAAACAGTTATTCAGAAAGAACACATTTTAGTAGTAAAATTAAGTACCAAAGAAACTCAGACAACCAAAATATCTACTGAACAATCCCCCTCCAAGTTGAACCTATTACACTGCATTTGCACTATCAAATATGAAATATGAAGAATGAACAGTTAAAAATGTAGGTAAAACAGTTAAAACCCTCATGAATTAACAGCAAAATATAACAAAAAATGAAATACTTAAAGAATTTAAAACAGGAATTTTAATTTAATGAATTTCAGGAGACTTATTATTATCTAAATTATAGTTCTGCCTACAAACTCTTTCACCACAGGCAAAGAGGTGAATGCCTGCCCCTATATACAATGAAAGATGTCTGGCCATTTGATGACCAAAAATAAATGAAAAGAAAAGAAAAATGAATATCTAAAACAGTTCAGATTTTGACATCATACTAGAGGGTTTGTTAAGGTTTTTATACTCTCAGTGAGCTCACAGTTTACCAGTCGTCTTTGACTCACTCCCGCTAACAACATTTTAGTCTTTTTAAAATTTTATTATTAGAAACTATTATCTTCACACTTATGACATAAAATTCAATAGTAAAATTACAAAATTTTTAGAAGAAATGTATTTTTAGAATTTTTACATATATTATTATATATAGTTATCACACATAAAATATAGGTTTATTTTTTATATTCACCATATAATTTCTTTAAAAATAACACATGGCAATAATATTTAGTGGCAACAACCTTTTATTTGAAAAATGATATGAAGAAAAAAGTGAGGATCGAGACTAATAGCATGTCTGGTGCTAATAACAAAAAATTAAGAAATATATACAGACCAAGGAGAACCAAGAAATATATACGACATACACAGTGAAAGTTAACTATATCTGTATACTTTTATATTCATTAAAATTAACCAAATTTCAAATCATAATATAATTCTTACAATATTTAATCATAGCTTTATATATTCAAAAATAGAATGAATTAAAAGAAAATTCACAAAAGAAAAAAATCTTTCCAGTAAGCTTTACTTTCTCGGAAAGCTATATAGTTAAAAGCAGAAAACGAATACAAGCTCAAGGAACACATCAACAAAAGACTTGAAATCGTAGACAAACTGTGAGGAATTGGTGAAGAAAAAAGAACAACCACATTGCAGCACTCTTACTATGTGGCTTACCAAAACGCTGCAAAAATTTTATTACAGCTTTAGAAGCATGCACAGAAGAACTAACGTTGGAATACGTAAAAACGAAAGTCACTGACAAATGCTTAAAAAGAAAAAAAGGCATGCAAACAAGAAGAAACAATTGCCTTCAAAATGAATTTCAACACAAAATTGAAGCATTTCAACCAACAAAGATGCAATTATTGCAAAAAATCAGGACACTTCGAAAAGGAATGCAGATTCTTAAATAACCAGAAAGAAAAAGACAAAAATGAAAATAACTCATTTTTCAAATTTTTCAATTTCAAAAATGGAAAGCAAGGGAATAAAGGAAATTATGGAAATAAACAAAGAATGAAAGCTGCTGTAAATGAGGATACACACAAAGGTGAAAACAAAAATAAGAAACTCGAGAAGACTGAGAATTACACGTTCAAAGTCACCAGAGAAAGAAAATTTCAAAATATAAACTGGTCAGTTGACTCAGAAGCCATTTGTCATATGACAGATAAAATAAACTTTTTCACAAAATTAGACAGAAGCAAAATTGAGCAAATAACAATTGCTATTGGTACTCAGATGAAGTCCAAATGCACTGGAGAAGGATATTTATACTGTACAGGCGATGAAGATAATGAAATAGAAGTAAGACTTGTAGATGTTCTATACGTTTCTGACCTAGAAGGACGATTAATATCCATACAAAAAATTACAAAGTGTTTACAGTTGCATTTGAAGAAGATATTTTCAGAATAAAGAAGAAAAATAAAACCATAGGAATTGCTAAAGCAGAATGAAATTTATATACCATAATTGAATCGCATAGAAGAAAAGCAAAACTGCAGCTGCAGAAGGAAGTTAAAATAGCATAGATCTTTGGCATAGACTAGGACACAGAAATTATGAAGCAATCAAGAGGTTAAAGAATGATGACTTGGCAACTGGAATAAGGAACAACTGAGAAACTAAAAAGGAAAAATAATAAGAATGCTGTATCAGAAGCAAAATGTCTGAATTACTGTATTCGAAGCTAAACAACTACACAGCAAAGTCAGTTCTAGACTTGATACATTCAGAAATTTGTGGACCAATCAGTACAACATCACTAGAAGGAAAGAAATACTTCATAACATTCATTGACGATCATTCAAAATACACAACGCTACAAAAGACGAAGCTTTCTCCAAGTTAAAACAATTTGTAATCATGACGAAAAACAAATTTGGAAAGAAGCCAAACACACAATGGAGGAGACTATACAAAGAGATTGAAGAATATGTAATGAAGAGGGAATTGAACATCAAACCTCTATAGCATATTCACCGCAACAGTACGATAGAGCAGAAGGAAGAAATCTATGCTTAATGGAAATGACAAGGTGCCTCCTACTCGATTCGGCACTCAAAAGAGAATTTTGGGGCGAAGCTGTAATGACAGCCACCTATCTACAGAACAGGCTACCATCAAGATCAATAAAAAAAAACACTACACAAGCTCTGGAATAATAAAAAAAACTAACTTAAACCATATCGGAGTTTTCGGCAGATAACCATGAAATTGCAGAAAAGGAGGTCTGGAGATCAGTACAATGAACACGTAAGTCAGTAGAAACATCATGCGTATGCAAATATTAGGAACAAAACGTCAGAGGCGACGTGAGTGTACACAAAAACGTGTGATGTCGGAGCTCAACAGTAGAATAAAAGGAAGGACGGAGACGCAATTCAACATATTCGCTGCAAGTGCAGTGAGTCAGTTCGTGAAATATGGCTAGAAGAAATCACCTAGACAACTTCACATGTGGAAGAATGATCGGAAAACTGGAGGAGGGGCGTACTGTCACCAGCGTAGCTGCAGAGTTCGGAATCAACAAAAGTGTCATTTCGCGTGCTTAAACCACATGTACAGCTGTTAGAAAGGTTAGTGGTAACCTCCCGAGGACGACAACTGCAGGAGATGACCGATATATCGTCCTGCCGGCGAAAAGAAGCCGACAGCAGTCAGCAAGAGCCATTGCTCAGCAACTCTGTACAGCAATGGGGCGACAAGTGGCGCAGTTTACTGTGGCTAGACGGCTTCACAAAGGGGGCCTATTCGCCTGCCGTCCTGAACCCTGCCTCCCGTTGAAAGTTGGCCACCGACGCCACTGTTTTCAGTGGTGCAGAGAGGACAAAAACTGGACAACTGATCAATGGAGTCGTGTCCTCTTTACGGATAAGAGTCGGTTTAGTACCAGAAGCGATTCTCAACGTGTTTTGATTTGCAGAGAGGTCGGGAACTGGTTTTATCCCAGTAACATCAAGGAAAGATACCGTAACGGTGGGCCTGGAATTCTTGTCTGGGGAGTCATTATGCTAACGGGCGAACTGAGCTCCATGTTTTCGACAGAGGGTCTGTAACCGGAGATCACTATTGTGAGGAGGTACTCCTTCCCCATGTGCATCTGTTCCGAGGTGCCATTGGCCCAGATTTAATTTTTATGGATGACAATGCACGGCCACATCGGACTCTTGCAGTTGAGGAGCTACTGGAAAGTGAAGATATCACTCGAATGGATTGGCCAGAGTACTCCTCAGATTTAAATCCCATCGAACATGTGTGGGACGCTTTGGGGAGACGCATTGTAGCACGCTTACATCCTCCGAAGAACACCCAACAACTCAAACAGATGCTGATTGAGGAATGGGCACTCCTACCTCAAGAAATGTTGCACCAGTTGGTTCTGAGTATGCGGAGACGGTGCGAAGCAACCACTGCAGTGAAGGGAGGACATATCCCATATTAAGGAACATCTGCTTGTTCTTTCTCTTGGATAGACAATCATGAGTCATGATACTATGCATTCAATAAAGCTTGTTTTTGTTTGATTCCATACCGTATGCATTGTATTTTTTTTCCAGCTCTGACGCTTTCGTCATCCTTTACGTATAATACTCTCCTTCATTTCTGCATTTCGTGCCTCTGAGTTGATTTCTCGTGGAGTTATGGCAAAAAACTCTGCTGTTGCTTAAGTTTTGCACACCAGTGTATAATGAATTAAGCAATGAACCAGACTTTAATATTTACACATCTTTCACTAGTCAAATGAGCTTCTCTTGCATGAAAGGCTTGTTTAATCTTGAGCCGAAAGCCAGGCTAAAAAAACTAGCTAACACATTATATGCCAACTAATTCTAATTTAACTATGATAATAGAAATCGTATTATTTTTTTATGTTATCATTCCCATCATAGCCCTACTCACTACTACACTATAAGCACAACCTTAAAATGAATAAGATTTAATGATGTTTCAATAGTTTATACTTATCCTGCCTTTTCAATAATCTGAAGACGCTTCAATGTGTTAAAGTTTGCAAATAAGATAGGTGTTTGAGACTAATTTTTATTCACAGCAATAAACAATTTTTCACCAAGTCTAACTGGCTTTAATGCTTCATTTGAACTTTTTTTTTTTAATCTTTAAATCAACAGCATTATTACACTGATTTGTTGTTTCTTCTTCATGTTTTAAGCTTTCTGAAATTGTATTTTGCTAAATTTCTTCAGAAAGAAACATATTTCTTTCAAATATATCTTTAGATCAGTTTCAGTATCAGCTACAATCAAGTAATCCAAAATAGTTTGTTTGAAGTCTTCTATGAAAAATTTGATGTTTTACTACTACCTTAACTTTTTTGAAACTAAACAATTAATTTTGCTGTTTCATTATAAACAGCAGGACAACTCAAAAACAAAAGAGAGTAGCCATGTCTCAGCTAATATGTTTATATCCAGTCTTGGCAAAGAATGAGACAGACTAATACGGTAATTCATTTAATCAGTCCAGCAATATGCATCAACTGCTCCAAAAATAACCATGAATGAAAACAATCAAACAGTTCCAGTGCAAACCAAATACAGTCAAAAAGTCTTTAATCCAGACGTCCATAATCCAGACCTCAAAGTTACAAACTTTCAGTGCATGCGTAAACGCATTATGCATTTATGCATGTGCATAATACGTTTACACATGCACGTAATATGTTTACGCATGCTCGTTTCATGTATAACGAACAGACGGTATAAGCTAAGCTCAAATTATCTATTTCAGTTAATGTTGCAGATTGCGTTGTTCCTTAATCTTCTAATTGGATCCGGCTTATTATTTTTTGCAGACTGTTAGAGCAATTTTATAAAAGTAAGCTTGAACTTCCGATTATGTCAAAAAGAATTTCCGATTCTGGATCTACAAAGTGAAAGCATGTTTCGATGTCCATTAAACAAAAAGTGGAATTGCTGCAAAAAATGGATAAACACATGAAGAAAGTGACAGAGAGGTGATTAGTTTCTCTAACCATTTCGAAATCTGTTTATCAAGTTCATGCTGCTCTGTGGGGGGGAGGGGATGTCGTGGCACGGAAAGAACTGGAAGTGGATCTGTCAGCACTATCCTTATCTTCAGGGCAGATGTTTTTATTATTTTTTACTATGCGTAATGTATGCTTTACGCATGCGCACATTGAAAGAAATGTTTAATATAGTAAACAAATAAATATTAAGCTTTTTTTTTGTAAATTTTGATACCCTTTAGATAATTGCTCTTTATTTCATAAAATACGGTTTCATATTTTTAATTTTATAATTTCTGCATGCCATCTTACCAGATTTAAACTGATGATCTATAATCCAGAAAAACCGATAATCCGGAATCGCCGAAGTCCTGACGAGTCCAGATTAAAGACTTTTGACTGTATAGATGCAACCAAAAAAACCCCTTGAACACACACCTTATCAATGACATATTTTACAGAAAAAAATTGAAGCAAATGAATTATAACGTTTTAGATTTTATTTTCAAACATCCTTGTTTAATCTTCCAAAGCTTCTTTAACAGCACATTATACATTGGATCTGTTCCAATAAATTTTAGGCTTCTGCATCGCCGCCTATACCCAGTTAGTAAACTTTAGAAAGTTTGATATGGAGAAGTGAGTTATAAAATTTCTAGTTCCAGTTAAAGGAAAGTGGTAGAGAATTCCAAATGGGAACAGCATAGTGTTTTCTGGGCTAGTCAGTTTATGCAACTCAGTACTTTAATATAAAAAAGCATAAATTAGCTTCAATACATTAGTTCCAATAATAAATTTTAATGTCAGTATATATAATATAGTATTGTAGTACAAAATACTCATTTTTCAGAATAAATTAATGTTATCAATTCTCTTAGTTCGGCTGGATTGATTATAACACAGAATTATTTTAATACTTCTTGATGTGTAAAGATGAAAATTGACTATCATATTTTTTTACACCAATTTGTGAATTTCCATAGCATTTTCTATTTTTTCATTTGATTCAAATACCTAACTTGTCCTGTTGGTTGCATGCTATTTACATAAAAAATTTACGTCATATCATACACCCAATTCTCAAAATAACCTGAATATTTTTACACTACTGCCATTAAAATTGCAACATCAGAAAAGGCAACAACTGATCTAAAATCTGCACAATACACAAATGAATGTGAACGGACAAAACCGATTAGCACTTATGCAAACTATACGTGCAAGTAACAATTCCCAGAGGCAGTATAAAAGAAAGAAAACAGCAGGTCGCAGAACACCTTTAGCCACAATGTATGAATTTTGGCAATGTTGAAACCCCACAGAGTGACATATTCTAAAGCCACATCTAATATTTCTTCTCTATTCTGAGTTGTGCAGCAACAGTTATTTCATACGTGATGAAATATCACCTTTCTCCCCATTATGTAAGTCAAACAAAAATTAATTTATTTTGGCTCTGTTCCATAATTAATTTGTTACTCATATGGCTTTGATGCAAGATAGTTCTAGACTTTCATAGCACTGAACCACAGCATGCTAGGAACTTCTTAAATAAATTCTCTCTTTTTATGTAGCTTTATAATAATAGCTCTATTAAGGGGCTCGTTTATTTTAATCTTTATTTTGGGGTGGAGGGAGTATTCTAATGTGAATAAGAAATCAGAAACATTGCAGTTTTACAGATCAAAACCAACCAAAAGATAAATAATAAATCTGACAGAAATGTACACAGATATCTAAATTTGCATATCTTTTTCATTTTACTTAGAACAAGTAAAGTTTCCTCTGTATCACATTTTGCAAAAAGTACAAAATAAGGAAACAGTTTAAAATCATAAAACAGAAAAATTCCACTAATCTATATATTTGATTATTTCACCAAAATGTAAGACTTACTGTTAAATTACAGGCAATATCACTTCCAAATCGAGGGACTTGTTCTCTTGCTATCTGTGTCCAGCATGCATCATTTCCAACAACTGCAACAACTGGAATCTGAGAATGAAGGGAAAGGTATGTGAAAAGTGAAAAACCCATGTATAATGAGTTATTTTTAAGAATTCCCCCCCCCAGTTACGTTGAAACCTGAAGCATAATTATCCTGGTGCTCTATTTAAAACTACCACTATTTTTGCTAGGGAAAAGTTAACTCTTTATGGAATCAATAATAATTTCCCCTGCTGTGTTTTACTGTAGTTTAGCTCTTTCTCGGCCACAATAAACTTTTGCCTAAATCTCAACAGATAGCCAATATTCACTGAATACCTAGTACTGATGTATTGTTAATAGTAAATCTGGGAAGCTATAAGAAGCTCCCTAAGCACTGTTTAATTTGTCGCTAATCTGCAAGCCCCTTGTTCCTTTTGTTTGCTTGATAAATATATGTCTTGCATGTCATAATCATACTTTCACAAGCATTACATATCGTACTTAAGCATGAAATAAATTATTTTCAGGATTTCATTAAGATGGCCTTTAACAGGAAAACTGCATAGTGCGATTCCTAGCAGTAAAGAAAGCTATAGTTATATTAAGGTTGTAGAGACAAGTATTTTAGAAGCAGGCAAGATGAAAAATGAGCAATGCCTTCCCCAGGAATTTAACCTCAGACCTCTGGAATACGTGCCCAGCGTGCAGTCCACCACACCACAAAGGCATGCTAAGAGGGCAGGAGAATTACCTTATATACTTCCCTTTTTAAAGGGCGACTGGGATTTTTATGGAACCCAATCGCCAAATCCTGGGTGTGGAGAATCATCATCCACCACACTTTTAGGCTGGGTGCCACTGTAGAGACATTATGTATTTTTTGGAAGCAGGAGATGAGAAAATGAGCAACACCCTCCCAGGGAATCAAACCACGGACCTCTGGAATATGCACCCAACGTGCAGACCACTACACTATGAAGGCATGCTAAAAAGGCAGAAGAAATACCTTGTAAGAGGAAACCCTTTAAGAGTATTATACTAAACGCTGTACATCGTTAGCCTTAGAGCCTCCTAGAAGATCTACTGAATTGAAAAATGATGAAAATAAAGTGTGGAAGCTTCTGGAATAAATTGTGCCACATAATTAAACCCATTCACTATTTTATAGAATTTCTTTAATACTTTGTGACATTTTTCTTTCAATTTTAAAATGTTTTTTTTATACATAATTATTTATTATTTCTATTTTTGTCAAAAATAAAACATTTAATAAGACTATGATATTTTATTTGTATAAGATAAACAGTAAGCCCTTTGTTAAAATTTCCATAGCTCACCATGAGGTTAGACCGCAGGACGTCGTTTCTCTAAAAACATGGTGAGACCAAGAAATAGCCTAAAGCTCCTCCTAAAGATGATAAACAAGGTTGAGTTCATGGCTTTAGTCTAGCCAGTCAAGCATTTTCATGAGCACATATTCTAATCACAAAATTAAAAAAGTTTTCTTCCCTTCAGCAGCACGGTGTTGATAATGCAAGCCAAAGACAGGGTAAATGCATAAAGCTCAGCACACACATATTGCCAAATAAAGTAAATCACCCCTTATAATGATTGTAATGTATAAACTTTGTAATTTCACAGGGTTGTACTGCTTGAATGAAAATAAAGGTCCTGTGTGTCACAATCTATTGCTTATGTGCTATCCAATTAGATGGAACCACAACACCCTTTACTGGAAATCTTCAGTTGCATTATTAAACTAAATCAAGAAACAACTCCAAATTTCTGCCATAGCAAGGAAAATACTTTATTGTCCAAAATGCCTTGGTATATTTCAAAGAACATGGTCAACCAAATGCAAAATAGGAAAAACAGAACCAGACCATCTGTTATAGCTGAGACACATATTTAAGGTTTGGTTAATTTGACTACTGTAAAGAACACAAAAGTTATTTGCCTAAGGAGAGGGGATATGTTCATGGGAGACTTCGTAAGGGAAATGGCTCATATCCACATTACACATGGGGAAAACTACAAAAATGCACATGCATCCAGCTCATTTGCAGGGACTCAAATCCAGGTCAAGCTGCCAGTGTTCAGCAACTTTATCGCTCGGCCACTGATGGACAATAATTATTTAAGTTTCACTAATAGTTAAGCTTAATTTAAATACTGTTCTTATCTTCCCTTTGATTCATGTCACACATAACCACTCAAATCAGAAAACTAAGTAAATTAAAAGCACAAAAAAACGGACTTTAAAAGCTAGACTAATTAACTGCAACTTATGCCTTATAGTGCATATAGCTGACATGCTAATCACAATAATTAGCAATAATTTGTATCAAAACAGTTTAGTATTTTTTGAAGACATACATTCTTGCTACTACTCAAGGTCGATATGTGATTCCCTCTTTACAGTGATTAATTAAGGATAAAATAAGGAGTCGTGTCTGAAAGGATTTGATTTTGATCATCGCAAATTCCAAGGCACGTCATCTAGGTATGAAACACCAATGATGATAAATAATCAACCTTTTGGTTTTGGGAATTGACACTTTAGCTGTACAGGTGTAGAAAGATTTCATTAAATCTAACCTACGATATTGTATGATTACATCAACATATAATTATGTTTGGTACTAACAAGCAATGAAGAATTTTCTTTCATTAAACAGTGTTTATATTTTTCTGATGAAACTTACATACATTGTAGTACTATTAAATGCTTATTCAATAATGAGTAAAAATAACATATTTGACATATTTACTTACCTTGTGTCTAATAAATGTATCAAATTCTATTAAGCTATAACCCAAAGAACCATCTCCATACAGAATTACAACATTGCAATCAGGATAACAGAGCTTTGCCCCAATAGCAAATCCAGCTCCAACACCTAGCGTTCCAAAGGCACCGGGATCAAGCCATTTTAATGCACCTCTGGGCCTGTAAATATGAATAGTGTGTCATGTAGAACTATTAACATACATTAAAACCTAGAAAAGAAAGAACATTATTTAAACAATATTCTTCTTCCCCTTGTGAATTCACAATATTCTCTGTAAGAAACATGCTCAACGCAACATATTTTCTGAAATTAAAGAAATTACAAAAAAAAAAATGTTTTACATATTATTTATTAATATGTATCTGGGATTACATTATATCATGACACAAATTAATTTTCAAGAAGCAAATGAAGGAAGGGAATTCTGGTAAAAGAAAGTTAAGACTTACCTGATAATATATGCTGCAGTAGACACAAAATCTCCTCCATCTGCAACTAAAACAGTATTTTCAGGTAAAGCACTTTCTAGTTCATACAGCAAATGCACTGGATCAAGGAAATCTGATTCAGAGTTTCTCACTTTTTCTCTGCAAAGTAAGAAAATGGTTTTGCGGACTGCAACTTATTTAATGACCAATACTTATATTATTTTGAGACATTTTTTTCATATGTATTTTCATGCATATTTTTTCTTCTACTTTTAAATACCAATTTAAAATTAAAAACTGACTAAAGCACATGTTACAAGTAGCATGCAACAAAGTTGTTTCAACATTAAAACAAAAACATTAATTTAAAGATCTGAATGTGGCAAATCGACTACAAAGTTCGTGGAAGAACATGGAATTGGCACACAATGTTCTCATAATATTGTTACACAAAAAACTTCATCTAACAAAGGGGATTTGAATGCAATGATAAAATAGCACTTATAAAAATATGCAGTAAAATTCGATAAATATTTTAAACATTTCCAGAAACGAAGCAAAATTAACTGATTTTTTTTAAACCCCTTAAGCTACAACAACGTGTGATACATGCGGTCTTGAACACAGGGCAAAACTGATTATCATGGGCATGGCCCGTAGTACAATGATCGAGCCAAAATGTAAATATCACAGGCATGGCCCATGGTGCGACGGTTGCAGTTTGTAATTTGCCCCACTACACACAGCACAAACCAGGCTCATTATAGATTCTTATTAAATATTTGTATCATAATCAGTTAGATGTTATTTTTGGTTATGTTCGTACTTTGAAATATACTTACTTAAATATTACAGAAGTATTCTGACATGATGTTTTCAAAAAGATGATTTTGTGATGAGAACAGTGAGAGTTATGTTGATGCTTCTGCTACCGAAAGTGAGAGTAGTGACATTATACGTTCTGTAGAAAAAAAAATACCAGCCATTAGTTAATGATGATACATCTGACGAAGATCAACTACCAGAACCCTGGATTTGGAAAGAAATACACAGTCCAAAAATCTGTAACTATAGAATGACTCCTGACATTAAAGAGCTTTACAGCACTTTGGAGGAAATAAAAGAGAATTAGATATATTTAATATAATATCTGATAACATATTCTGGGAGAATATTGTAATCCAGACCAATTGATACATAGACCAAATACAAACCAATCCAAACAGAATATGAATAATCAACAACACTTAGTTTCCTGTGATTCTAATGAAATTAAAATATATTTTGCAATGTCTATAATGATGGCTCAGATGAAAAAAACCAAGAATTCAAATGAATTGGTCGAAGAGAGCTGTTATAGAAACACTTTGTAGATATATTCTCGTTTGAAAACTTGAAGTCTAAAATACATCGTGTGCTTTAGTCTTAAATAGCCACCCTGATCGATACAACAGTTAGTGACACTCCCTGCTATACCACTAGGCCCAGGTTCAAATCCTGGAGACAGCATGGATATTTGTAAGTGTATAGTGCCTATGCAGCATGGGGACATTTAAAATACTGGCAAGCATGGAGACTTCTTGAGTAGTTTGGTGGTAGAGGAAGAGGGGTGGGAGATGTTCAAACCATTCTTGGGGTGTTCTCCATTAAAACTCGGGCAGAGTTTCAAGATTAAAGCAGCAGAACCATACCTGTACAATTTCTGATGTCTTGCCTGCTTGTATCTGCAATCTTAAATACTTTGTGTTGATCTGAAATCCTGCCAGTAGCAGTGATATCTAGTTGTAATGAAAGTTTTCCGCTAAACACTGTTCTTGATAAAGTTAGGGAAGAAAAACCAGAAACATGAAAACAATACCTTTAGTGTGAGTAGTAATCACCACCCAAATCTATAAATTTTCTGCCAATGTTTTGGCAGTTTTTCAAAACCTTTGGTCCAGAAAGCTGTACACACGATTTGGTGACATTCTGTAGCTGATGTTTTGCAACAGAACTGGAAGTAAATGATGGTTCCAATCTTGTATAGTGAAAGTTCCATTTCAGACACCTTGATAATACTTTTTTACAAATTTCATAACATGGTGTTCTAAAGCAAGTCTCTTTCTTTCAAATACCAAAATTCCTTTGAAAAGATATGATTATACACGTCAATATGAACTGTTTGCACACATGATATTTCCGGGGTTGGGAAACTTTCATTAAAACATTAGTTTGTAGCCTGCAATTGGCAACAAATAACTTTAAGTGTTTTATATTTTTTTATTAACTGAAATGCTAATTTTTGATGGCCATTCTGAAATTTACTTTCTTAAGTACATGTGAAATAAGATATGTGTGTTTTGTAAATGCATCATAGACTGTATCAGCACAGGTTAGTTAAGTGTACCATTTCATAAAAGAACCTGCACATTATAATAGACATTCAATGAGCTTACACACATAAAATAACAAAGAAGAAAATACCTATAGCTTTTTTCTGTAGCATTATCTCTTTCTTGAAGCCTAGAAAGCCAATCTTTTTCAAATTTATTTTGTGAAACGCTCTCAGAAAGTCTACTGATGAAGTCAGGTACATTCGCTTGAAAAGCAATCGTTGGATTCCAAAATATCCCAGAATTCTAATAAAGTTAGAAACAAATGTATTTTAAATGAGCATTAGATATGGTACTTACGTATTATCGCAACCAGGTTGGCGCTATTTGTAAGTTTCAGTAAAAAAGTATGAATAGAAAGAAAATGTACATTTATTAATTACAGATAATTTTTAATACAGTTTTTTATATTATTTTTTTTTAAATATAAAACAGAAATTAAACACTTCCGGTTTCGAATTTTAATAAGTTGCAGAATTATTTTTTCGGCGGAAATCTTTTGGCTATTGCTTTTAGCACTGATTGAAAACCCTATTCGCCATAACCATGTACACGTCGACTTATTTTTACTTAAAAAAACATCCCAGAATTGCACAAAAATGGCATTGCGCACACTCTTGACTTTATCCATGTACACTGCTATTTTCTCATAAATTACAAAAATTTGCACGAAAATGCAGAAAAATTTTGTAAATCTCCACATGCTCTTTTTACAAAACTACGTATAACACGTAGGGTTGCCGTAAGTAGGGTCGCCAAATTTGGCAATTTATGCGAATTTTGGCCTGGTTGCGTTAATACGTACGTACCTTATATATATATAAATATATAAATATATAAACTATAGCAGCAGAGGAAAGCAATGCCATCTGTCATGCTGTTGGTGATCTACAGCGATCATCTGCCAGACATGGGAGATTTCACTTGTTTTGGGTTCAGTTGACCTTTGGGTAGCAGAAACTTCCTAGGGGGCGGATGAGATCACATAACTCATTCACAAGTTCTACTGGAAAATTATGTCAATACCTTTAATAATATTTATTGTGCATTAAAATTTCTATCATTACTTATGACCTCTTGCAAGCATGATGGTAATTTGTAAATAACATTTTAGAGGAACTCAAGTACTACTTGGCTGACATCTGCTTGTTTTGAATTTTTCTCTCTTTAAAAAATTTTGCAAGAGAAAAAGATAACTAGAGAGTGCTAGATTTGGGAGGTAGGATGGATGTGGCAGAATTTTTCAACCTAATGCAGTATGATGCAGTTTCTAATGAATCGTTCTCTTTTCTTCAACTGTGTTATTTAAATAATCTATTTGCAGACAGTATCTTTCCGAATTGAGCTTTTCATTAGGTTTCAGAAGCTTATAATGTACTGGACCTCGGACATCCCATCATATACACAGCAATCTCTTATTCAAGGTACTAGTGGCAGGTTGTCCAGGTTCCAGCGGCAGATTCTCCAGTATGCTCTTTTCTTAATGATATTTTCTTAGGTAATCCACTTTTCCCTCCCAATTATCATTCAGTCAAAGAAAGGTTCATTTTCATTCCAAGGACACAGAGATGTGTACATGATAACTTGATCATGCAAACTTTTCTTACTTAACTAATGCGGCATTACAAATATGGTCCAAAATGGTTTGGTGACCTGACTTAAGCTTTTCTGCAATCTTCAATGTTGTCAAAAAAGGGCTTGCTGTATAATGGCCTTGACAATAGCGTCATTGATTAAAGATGCCTGCTTAGAACTTGGCTTATTATTAAATTTGAAATCCCCTGCTTAAATTATTCAAGCCATATTGTGGACGTTCTACCTGAAACTGCCCTTCCAGCAAAAATTTTCACCAAATTTCAACATGCTAACTACATTATTTTTTCTTACTATAATTAGTACAAAATACAAAGTTGTAAAAGAACTTGATCATATCTCACTTAATATTGATATGAGAAACTTTCGTTTCAGTTAATTTAGAAGAGCGCATGTGCATAAATGCAATGACAGTAACAGCCATATATATATCTCAAATAAACGCATGCGTAGTGGAATTTGAAATAACATTATCAAACAGAACTTCCCAGTAGACCTTTACATTTTCTTTTTGAACTTTTTTTGTATACTATTTGAATCCTTTTATTGCTTAAAAGCTCTCATATACATTTATTTTTAACTCGCTTGAATTTACAGAGTTCATTTCAAACAGATGTTTTTGAAAATGTTTATGCTTTTGGCCATCTTTCATTTTCCTCACTTTCCAGGAATTTCCAGATGAGTTAGAAACTACTTCCCCAGTGCATTCCTTAACATTTACTTACATACTTTTTTAAAATAGTGACAAAACATTTTCTTCCACATGAGCTAAATTTACAATTGTAAAAATGCCCTTATTATCATATAAATTAAGAAATGTTTAATTGCTAAATTCTTGTTAAATTTGATGTATAAAGTAATGTATAGAAAGGAAAAAATAACTATACCAAGATAACTTTAGAAGGAGATACAAATTTCTGCATCATATGAACAAAATAGTAGCATTAGTAATACCATCCTCAGACTCCATATAAACTGACAAGCTTTGAATAGACTCTTATAACAGGAAGTGATAGTAAATCATTGAGAAGTGTTAAACTTGCCCTGAAGTTGAGAAAGAGCTTGACCATTCATTCACAGAGTTTATTTTAAAATGTGAGGAGACTAAATAGCAGTACATCAGTATAACATAACCTGATCTATATTTGCAGTATTCTCAGATAAAGATAACAGGTGGGGGAAGGATAAGATACACTGTCTATTCAGCAATAATTTTTACAGCCATTCTGTTCAAACAGAAAACTTCAGATTCACTTGGTATTTTTAACAAGAAATAGCCCTGTACAGTAAATTTCAATAAAAAATGTTTACAAGCTTGTAACAAACTGATAGTATTATCAACTAAAAGATAACAGGTGGAGGAAGGAAAAGATACGCTGTCTATTCAGCAATAATTTTTATAGCCATTCTATTCAAACAGAAAACTTCAGATTAACTTGGTACAGTATTTTTTAACAAGAAATAGCCTTGTACAGTAAATTTCAATAAAAAATGTTACAAACTAGTATGTTTACAAGCTTGTAACAAACTGATAATGAGTTTGAATATATGTCACTATAAGATATCAGTTCTTTTATAATATTAAAGGTCCAAAAAACTAGTTTGTTTTTAATGGCAATTTTCATCGGCAGATTCAACATTAGATACAAACCTCCAGGCAAAATCTAGATACCAGCTTTAATGAGTTCCTCCCCTTTTTTTTACTTTTTTATTTACTTATTTACTTATTTTTGACTTACTTATTTTATTGACTTTTACTTATTTTATTTATTTTTTTATTTATTTAGACACTTTTACCGTGAAAATTTCAAGTAATTTAAATTATTTTGTTTGATAAAGATGACCATTTTTTCAATTTCATAAGTTTTCACTTCAAGCAGGTTTCAATGGATATTATAAAGTTTACTATTAAATCTCTGACTGGCACTAGATGCTGAGGGGGAGGAACTGCTCTCCTTGCTTTCATAATACACATATAATGTTCAACCATTTCCTAAATTACACATTTTTTTTTTTTTTAATTTACTTCCTATATGTTTTAGAAAGTGAAAAATCTCTGTCAGTATACGAGCAATCATGACTAAAGTACAGCACACCTTGTGTAACTGAATCTACTAATTTAAAAAGCTTCGTTTCATTGCCAAAATCAAAATTAAAAGCTTATTTTTTTAGGCTAATTTGCTGTATGCTTTTCATAATGAACTTTGTCATTATGAAAAGTTCATTATGTCAGTCATTACACACATCATTTCAAATGCATTCCTTAGTAACAGATATATGAATTCAGAAAGCTTAAAAAAAAAAAAATAAAAAAGTACCATGTCACTGTCCAGTGACCTAGTATGTAAAAACATTTCTAGTTTTAGAACCATTGGTAATTCCGATATAAATTTTTCCTTTCAATGTTAAACTTCCCAATACATTGCTACATTTTTGCTACAGAATATTAGCCTGCTACATGAGAGGCATACAAGTAGAAACGTACAGAAAACTACCACTTTACCAGTCTTCAAAATTTGAACTTGGAAACATTTCACATCTAAAACACATCTATATCTCTAAAAAGAATTAAATACCTTGTAAAGCTGTTTCTTGTCCATATTAACTGCAATGACTTTTGACTTTGGGTTGATTACTCTTCCATATGATAAACGGAAATCACAAACAGTACCTAAAAATAAATTAATAATAAAAGCACTGTGCAAAGTAGCATAGATTGCATAATACTAAGTACTCCATAGTCCATGAAAACACTCTGTTGCAAAATTTAACAAAACTACTCAGCTTTCCATGTATCTTAGGGGTTTCCATATATCTTAGGGATGTAATGATCAACTTATCCAGTTAGCAACTGGAAGGCAATATGAAGAGGACATGCTCGATTCTTTTATATTTACTACTTTATATATTTAAAATACCTTAATATCATTCCTTTTCTCTTTATCTATTGTTTTTAAACAGATAAATTTAATAGTATTTTTCTTCAAACATAAAATATGTTTCCTCCTTATTCTCAAGTGCTTTTTACCATAAAGAACATATTTTCTCATTCTATTATCATTAAAAAAAATTACCCAAAATAAAAATATATATATTTTGAAAAAAAAAAAAAAAAAAAAAAAAAAAAAAAAACCACTACTTTAGTCTCTTATTTGCTGGCTCTATTTCTGACAGTTGTCCCGGATATAACTGTTTATTTACCATGTGTTTTAGAAGATCCATAAGGTACTGATAATATTTTTTAATGAAATACTAAATTCATTACTAGCTAATATTTCAAATTGCTTGGCATATACAGTTTTGTGCAAAAGATGTCCAACATTTTACAAAAATGGACTTATTAACTAAATTAACTTAAATTCCAGATTTAAGAAATCATACATCATTTTAAAGATAATTTTATAAAAAATCAAATTATTTTAATAATCTAAAATACCAAAATTACTTCAAAAGTTATGACATAAATAATGGCTCAAAAAACAACCAATAAAAAATTTAAATTGCTTTTGCAGTCCACTACAGCTTTTGCAGTATTTCAATTCTGCATATAAAAGGATGACTGTTGCTTGCTTTAATGTTTTTGATGCTAAGAATTCTGTTGCAACAATGAATTTCTTTCATATTAATTTTTAAAACGTTCTTTGAAAAAATAATCATGTGTAAAAAATTACCGCTCTATATAATGAAGGTTATTTTGCCATCGCTTCGCTGTGAAATGTAACTTCATCCTTCAGTTCTTAGTAGATGCATTTACTGTAATTTACAAAAAAATCTGGAAGATTGGCACAGGGTAAGGAAAATCATGATACAAAATTATGTGTTCTTGATCTTTAAAAAAGTGCTTTGAGAACTGACGAATCTGAGGTATAAGTAGAAGCTACCTGGCAGTTAATATTTCCAAGTAGACTGCAAATTGGAAACAATCAAAATAGCTTAACCCCAAGTGGCCAAAGGTTTGGTCCCAAATATTTAAAGTTCCCAGGAAAAGAATTAGTCAGAGATATTTTCTTGATTATAAATCAAAATTGATCCTCCCAACTTGTACATTGACTCTTTAACTTCAAATATAGTTTAATTGGATACATTTCAAGTGCAAGTTTCTTACTTTAAAATATGAAAATTAATTAATAGCTTTCAAGTGTAAATATGGTTCGGCTGCTCAGAGGGTTAACAGCTTATAAGGCTGTGAAGAAACCACTCATCCATGAAAAACAGAATCCAGAATCTCAAGTGATTAAAATGGGAATGTCATTGAGTAGAATGGACTGTGTAAAGCGGACAGGCCAACCTGCCACACTCAAAAATCAGGAGAATGTTTTCACTAGCAAAAATAATTTTTAAACAGTAAAAATATATAAAAAGAAATATTTTTTAAATAATACTCTATAAATACCATTTAATTAGTATCTGAAAGTGCAGTCTAAGTTATAAATGCAGTAATAAAAAATATGCTTATATATTAAACTTTTTTATTATTTCAAGCATTTTATACGTGAATAATAATTTAATGTATTTTCATATAATTACTAACAATAACAGATTTTACTTTCTTTAAGAAACAGATTAATTTTCCTCTTAGCAATTGCCTCATTGATCCTTTTCTGCTAATAAAATGTTTCCCACTGTATCATCATTCATATTGGATCTAATTCCATTTAATCATTACTTAAAAAAAAAAAAAAAAAAAAAAAAAAAAAAAAAACAATTAATCTGAAAAATACTTCACACTCGCCACAGTTGTTTGGATTGATCAAAATGATGAACATTATTTTAGAGACGTAACTACACATTCAATTTCCATCACCAGTTTTCAACTTTTTGATTAGTTACCAATAAATATTAATTTTTGTTGATTATGTAACTTTATACCAGTTTTCTAATTGTAAACTTCAAAACTGAGAGTGCAATTTATCCATTGGACCATTAATACTTTCATCTTATGCCAAAAGGCAAAACAAAGATTAATTTTACAAAATTTAATAAAATGTCTTAAACAATGTGACAACTGCAATCACTATTAGCACATGAACATCAATCAGCAGATTCGCCACTGGGCACATTTGTCCAAATAAAACCGATGGACGACTGCAGGCATTTAAAGTAAAACGCTCAAGTAAAAAAGGCAGAAAATAAGCTATTATGATTTATATACGCATATGACAACAATTGTTTCTTTCATACATTTGACTGATTTGTATTTGCCGGGTCCGTGACACTTAGCCGACAACCATTTAGCCGATGGGACACTAAACCGACACCAGTTAGCCGACAGGACATTTAGTTGACACGGGCGCTTAGCTGACAGGTCGCTTAGTCGACAAGACATTTAGCCGACACGGACACTTAGCCGACAGGGACAGTTAGCCGACAGGACACTTGGCCAACACAAAGAGTTAGCTGTCAGGACATTTAGCTACGGGACACTTAACTGTCAAGACATTTAGTCAACAGGACACTAAGCCGACAGTGACGTTTAGCTGACTCGTACCCAATAATTATTTAAACTTACTATGAATTACAAAATTTCTCGACTTATCCATAAGTTCAATATTTAAGTTATTTTTTCACCTATCAGTAAAATTCATTTTTCGATTCTTAAATATCTCATATCATTAGGATAATTTAGCATTGTTTGATACGTATCATGCTGTTTGGTGTATATTGGCCAAATTGAAAATGCGCTGAAATTTCTCATCAGGTAATATGAATTAAATTTCGAAAAGAAAAAAGAATTTTTTTTTAGCTAAGTACGGCGGTCACTTAATTACATTTGGGATCTTCAGAAATTATCCATAAAGCTTCTTCATTTAATCATCTGGGTTCCTTTGAACACTTTCACATCATTAATAATTTTTCTTGTTTACTTACATTAATTTTCCAATCTGGCTCTTCCAAATACTTTCAAATTTCTAATAACTTTACGTTTGATTACTATTTTACTCAATACATATTGAATACACATCTTTCCCTTACAAAATCGTTTCGCTCCTCCCACTAATGAAATTTCTTTTCCCTGTAATGAAAAATCTGAATAATGCAATAAAAATTATTGTTATTCTTGAATTATACTTTTTATAGTAACATATGGTCGTGAAGGGTTAGTTTCAAAATATATATTATTTTATTATTAGAAACAGTTAAAAAAAAGTGAATTTTTAAGACAAGCAAAGGTAAAATTATTGACCTCTATAATGGGCTGTTCATGCCACCATACTTGAGATAAAAATTCTGTAACATATTATTGACAACGCCTCTCACTGAAACTACTTACTTAGGTTAATGTTTCTAGCACTAAACTGGTGCATGATGTTTAATTTAAAAGCAAAATATTCTTTAAGGTTTTATTACATTCATAACTGAATACATTTCTGCAAAAACTACATGCTTCACTCTTCATATATCGAAAATGTTATTGATAAGAAATTCCGGATGTTGGAAAATCTCCGAAGAGAAACTCTGATTTCTCCGGAATCTGTAGGAGGAGGAGTACCAAGCAGGGCGGAGCAAAGCGAGACATCCTGAAAAGTTACCATAATGTGCTGCCATCTATCGATGATGGATTTAACTAGATAATATTATGTACTCTGTTTTGAAAGACGCGATGTGTAATTCTCAATATAATATGTTATATTGTTTAATGCTTTTATCATAAAATTTAACTTCCTCAATATCTGTTAAAAATGTATAAATTTTCATTTCACTTTTCATTTCATTTTTATTTATTTTTTTTCCCTCTTTCATTCTTTCTCGTTTCTGTTTTAGCTATATGGTAATAGGGAAATTTTGGTGCCCATTTTCCCGAATGCATTTATAAAGTTCTAGCCTAAACAGGAAATTTTATTGGAAGAGACTGGTTATAGTATATTAAGTAATATGGTCACTCTATTTCTGTTAGGCCCAGCAGTGGCTGAGCAGTAAAGTCGCTGAACACTGGCAGTTTGATCCGAATTTTGAATCCCGTGAAGGGACAGGCTGCATGGGTGTTTTCATGTTTTTCCCCATGTGTAACACGTATACTAGCCAGTTTTCCTGAGAAAGTCGTCCACGAAGGTATCCCTCCCGTTAGGCAGATAGCCCTCTGGCTTTGCCGTAATTACATAAAACAAACCTACTTCTGTTAGGTGGCTGCAGGCCACGAGTTACGAATTCCTGTGCCGGAGCCCTATCCCAGATTAATAAATATGCGATGCCTAACCTGTAAATAGCATTTTAGATTAAACAAATTAGTTCCAGTGTGGCAAGTAGTAGGGCGAATCACTTTACTTCTTCACAGGGAAAGGAAATTTCATTAGTGGGAGGAGCGAAACGACTGCGAAATGAATTTCTTCATCTTCTTTCTCTTTTTTCATCTTCAGTTCTTTTTGCATTCTATTCAATCAATTCCTCGTTCATTACACTTTTGGTCTAGCAATAACCCTTGCATACTGTGCCATAATGAAATAAACCGAACCCTTATCAAAATCGCTAAAAGGTATTTATTACAGGTTGAGTTGAATGAAATTAGTGTGATGTGTTGAGGAAAGTAGTAATGAAATGTGAAAGTATTAGAAATCTAAAACCATTGGGAAGAGCGAGACTCATTGTTGGCTTAATGTCATGTCAGCTAACTGTCTGTGTCACTAAGTGTCATATCGGCTAAGTCATATCCCTAGTCAGCTAAGTGTCCTTGTCGGCTAAGTGTCCATGTCAGCTAAATGTCCTGTCGACTAAATGTGCTGTTGGCTAAGTGTCTTGACGGCTAACTGGTGTCGGTTAAGTTCCCCATCGGCTATGTGGTTGTTGGCTAAATGTCCGCGAACGGTTATTGCCATTCAGCAACATATACTACTCCTAGATTTATTTAGTGTGCTGTTTTTTAACTTAGATCACACTCTATGATTAAATGTTTGTATCATTAAATGGTGTTGTTTCATTCTTATATGTGTTCACTTTAGTGATGATGAAATGACGGGATCGAATGATATAATAATTTGTAAACAGGAAGTACTTTTGCTTTTAACTAAAGTCATCTCAAGCTAAATCTTGATTTTGATTAATAATGTCTGTTATTGGTAAAATTGGCAGTATCAAACATCAAGTTAAATTTGCTAAATTTGCCTTAGAAGCTAACAGAATGATCAACTGATGAAAATAAATAGCATGCTATGCTGCTAACAGTCTATGGAATGAAAACTTTAAACATTCTTAGAGTGCTTTTGTATTAAAAAAACAGCAAAATTTTGATTAAATGAATGTCTAAAGAAGTGGAAATAAATGCTAAATGAAGACAATATAACTGTAGCCTTCATTGCAGTGGCAATACCTCGATCATTTATCAACAAATTTCAAAATCTGTAATATGACTTGCAATCCAGAAATTATTGTCACTGATAATGAAGAAAGTCACAAGAAGATTATTAAGAATAAATATTAACACAAAAAACAACACTGATTAAAAAACTTACGTTGAAAGAATTGTTTAATTAAAAAAAAATGCTAACACTGAGCCTTTTTCTTCGTAAATTTTGGTTTCTTTCAGGCCATAAAGAGCCTTTGTTATTTCACAACAAACCACTTCATAGCTCCATTTTTTTTATAATTTTTGCATGTCACCTTATATTTCAATTAACAAACTAAAATACAGAAATTTCAGAAAAACAGAATTGTGGAAGTCTCAGTGTTTTTGGATCTTGATTTTGTACTGTATAATAAACCATTATATATCAGTTAGACAGAACTCAAATACTGCAGATTTTAGAGTAACTAAACATGCAATGTAGATTTCATTTAAGCTATCTTATTTAAACACATGTGCGAAATTGTTTTTCTTTTAAAACACAGTTTCCTCTCACATGCTCTTTGCTTTTAACTGAAATAAAAGAAGATTTCAATCTGTAACAGTACTGTTAAAAATGCTCAGGCTAAAATCAACCATGAATAACTACACTCAGTAATTAATTTAGAAAATAGTGCATGCAGATATATAACATATGGGAAAACAATTTTTGACTGCAAAGTACTTTAACATGAAGTATCAAAATATGCACATACTTCTAGATTAGCATCATAAACCTGGTTCACATACCTGCTAAAAGGACTAAATCAGCCTCCTGTAAAGCTTCTCTTCGCTTCTGTCTGATATGTAATGGGTTTTGTCGACCAAGTAAACCCCGTGACATTCCTCCAAGGAAGCAAGGAATATTCAGAGCCTTTAAAAACAAATACACATTTTTCATAATTCTTACAATGTGGTTCTTTTAAAAATTAATGTTTATTGTTAAAGTTTTAATTATAATGCCCTTTAAAAGAATCCAAAGTTGTCAATAATTTCATAAAACTGAAATATTCATACATAATAAACAAAACGAAAAAAAGAGCAACATATACACATAGGATATGAAAATGTTTTTTATAGCTTGGTAATGTATGGCAAAGCTTTCAAGAAATAAAGCATTTTAAGGAAGGATTTCTTGTAAGAAATAAACCAGTATTTATAATGGAAATAAACTACACCCCGCAACCAGACACTTCCATGCCCAGAAATTTAATCTTAGGCAAAATTACCATTCGTTCACTGATTTCGCTCTCTCTATTTTTTATAAACTTGAATGAATATATATGCACGGAGTTGTTAACTTACAGCCACATTTGGTTTTAACTGACCAGTAACACATCAATATGGCATTGCAATCTCAACCAAAAAATAATAGAAAAAAGTTAAATCACCAAGCAGGTACAAAGTTTACAGAAGAAACTGACTTTTTAATTACGTGAATTATTGCTAAAGAAAACTGACGGTCATCAAATATGACTGTTGTTGCAGCTGTACTTCTGATCTATTGCTCTGGTTCTTTCATAAACATTCTTAGTTTTGTCTGAACTGTTTGTTCCTTTCTTTTCATCATAAAACTTCATGACAGAGTTGTCAATTCTCACTTCCAATTTTTTTACTCTTGTAAATCTCTCAAAGTTTAGATGCATGGCTTCCAATATAGCAATAAGTTGATTTAGTATTTTAAAGCATTCAGAAAAACCTTGTGTGGTACCTTTTCTTCGGTTCAATTTCTTCATCTTCTTTCTCTCTTTTCATCTTCAGTTCTTTTTGCATTCTATTCAATCAATTCCTCGTTCATTACACTTTTGGTCTAGCAATAACCCTTGCATACTGTCCATAATGAAATAAACCAAACCCTTATCAAAATCGCTAAAAGGTATTTATTACAGGTTGAGCTGAAATGTCCAATTTAACTTCATATTCTAAAGAAAGATCTTTAGCAAGAGTAACATTTTGTTCATGAACTCTGAAGATTGTTCTCGCTATAAATACATTCAAATTTATTTATAAAACCCTTAACACACTTTTTCCAAATTCCATTCATGCCCCTGACAGTAACATTTTCCCAAGCAACAGCAAGATTTTTTAATGCAATTCAAAATGTCATTGTTTTCAAAAATCACTCCACAAAAGCTGAGAACCTTTATCAGTTGTTGCAACAGATAGGGTAACAAATAGTTAATTTGTCTTAAGTATCACAATGCAACCCAGAGCGATGCATTGGAACAACAGTGTTGGAATTTGGAAGGAGAAAGCAACATCCACATCGAGATTTAAATCTGTCAAATGCACAGTATGGCCAGGTGTATTATAGAGGAATATTAAAATTTTGAAAGGAACCCTTTTCTCCAAGCAATATTTTCATGTTTGTGGAATGAAACAGCCAAGTGGCATGGCTCTTTGTAGAATTACTCATTTTAGTCTCTTTTAATAAACTTCCATTCTTAAATTGATATTTACATTATTACAGAAAGTAAAAAAGCAAAATATTTTAAATTATAAGCTACTACACTGGTGTGCAAAAATTAAGAACGAAGTCGAAAAATTAGCATATCCAGCTGAACGAAGAGGCAGAGCAGACAGAAAGACCAATCAGGAGATTAAGTAAGGTGATGTACGGTAGCACATGCGTAGATATGCAGGTAGACGTAATGGGGGAGTGTCTGAGTAGTATAAAGCACGTTGTCGGTGTAAGATCAGTATTTCTGGCAAAGAGATTGCACGCCGTATAGCAGTTAAAATCACACCGAGTTGCTGCCTCAGCGAGAAATGGCGAATAATCAATCTGTTAGACGACATCTGGATGCTTTTACCCGAGGTCGAATCATTGAGAAGTTGGAGAAAGGCCGCAGTGTGACAAGTGTGGCTGCAGAGTTCGGAATTGCTCACACCATAGTTTCACGACTTTGGAGACAATTTCAAACTACAGGAACAGCTATCCTGGGGTTTAGTAGTGGTCGTCCACGAGGAACCACACCCGCAGATGACCGGTATATTGCCTTACAGGCCAGAAGAAACAGGCGGCAGACAGCAGGAGAAATCGCTAGACACACGACACAGGCGGCTGGACGACCGATATCGCGTTTTACCGTGGCCAGAAGACTGCACGGTGGTGGTCTGTTTGCACGACGCCCTGTACGGTGTGTACCTCTAACGCCTGCCCATCGGAGAAGGCGTTCTCTGTGGTGCCAGGAACACCGGAATTGGAGAGACAATGAATGGGGACGAGTACTCTTTACAGATGAGAGCAGATTCAGTCTGAGTAGCGATTCTCATCGCATACTCATCTGGAGAGAGCAGGGAAGCCGCAATCATCCCTTGAAAATCATTGAAAGGGACAGGTATGGAGGTGGTGGTGTTCTCATTTGGGGAGGCATCATGCTTGGTAGTCGTACAGACCTTCACATCTTCGAAGCAGGTTCAGTCAACGGGACCCGTTAATGTAACGAGATTCTTCATCCATATGTGCGTCTTTTTAGAGGCTCTATGGGTCCGCAGTTCCTTTTCATGGACGACAATGCACCATGTCATCGCACAGTAGCTGCCGAACACCTCTTAGAGAGTGAGTATATTGAACGTATGGATTGGCCGGCACGATCTCCGGATCTCAATCCATCCCATCGAGCATGTATGGGATTTTCTAGGCAGACGCTTGGCAGCTCGTACCTTACCACCAGTAACGATTCCGGAGCTTCGATTGGCGCTGCGAGACGAATGGGCAGCAATGCCTCAACAACTCATTGACACCCTTATTCTCAGCATGGGCAGAAGCTGTGAAACCTGCCTAGCAGTCAGGGGAGATCATATCCCTTATTAAAGACCGGATGTTTCTTGCTGGACACCCATCACGGGAATGTTTTAACCTTCAGTCGCATTGCGCTCCATGGTACTTTTTCAATAAAGCTTCATTTTATCCCTCTGATTTCTCTTTTAGTAAGTGTTGCTTACATTACTCATGTCCTTACGTATTGGGGATCTTACGGTATTAAATGTGTTGATTTGGAAAAATTTTGTACAAAGTTATATTGAAAAAACCGTCTCGTCCTTAATTTTTGCACACCAATGTATATACCAAGAGACCAAAAAAAACTCCTGACCAATAAAGCCAACTATGCAATTCAGAAGGTTAAAAACCACCTTTCACACACAGGTTGTGTCATCCATGCTTTGATAGTGCAACAAAAATAAACTGGTAGTGTATTCTTATCACCATTTAAAATATTCTTTGATTTTTTTAATGATAAATTAGGAATGGCTTAAGTTTAAAACCTGCAATATTCCCATAAAACAAAACAATTAACCATCCCTCAAAAGTTTTAAACCCTGGCATATTTTTTGCTTCTTTATAAATATAGGATCTAGTAGATATGCAACAAACCAATTTTCATCAAGGATGAAAATTTATTGGGGCTCATAATCACCATCAATAATTATGTTATAAAATTCTACAGATTTACATGCTCCTTCAGCATCTTAACCAGCTGCCTTGCCTCTCACACAAATATTATGCAACAAAACACTTTGCAAATATTATGCAACAAAACATATTTGAACAAAGCTGTGCTAGCTATGAAATTTTGGCTGTAATTATCATCAGCATGGACTTTTAAAGTTTGAAATAAGTCACATGTTTTCGTTTGAATAGAAATCAATGATAATGCTACTGTTTTTTGCAGCTGGGTAATCCAAGTATTTAATAATTTTTCTATTTCATGAATTAGTCCAATTCATTGCTTAGTAATTATCATCAATTGCATAGAAGCAGACCTTTTGGCACCACTGCAAATTCTCTTTGTCCTTCAAAATCATCAGCACTACGGAATGAGCTAGCCTCATGTTGCAATCACATCAAATTTTTTTCCAAACTTCATATAGCACTTTCATTTTCATGTCTAAATTAGTCACCTTTATTCTCTTTTTTAACTTCTTAATTGCTAGGGGATGTCGATTTTCTTTCTGGAGCAATTTTATATGTTAATTAAGAATGAATTTGCCACAAGAACTGATACACATGCTCTGACTGAATGGTGAGGTGTGGCAATAACCTGTGAACAACGTGTGGTGTTTCCAAATCTGTTGAAGGTGCCAAAATCAAATATCTTGCTATTTAATTCATTTGCCAAGCTGAAATGTTTCATTTGCTATTCAACACTTCATTTTAACTGAGTAAGAATTGTTGACTGAATGTGCTTTAACAAAATCAGCCATAAAGTCAGGCAAAAGCCAACAATTCATTGTATTAATGTTACAAAACATATTCCTTTTTTATTCATTATTCCATTTATTTATTCAACTCTTGGTATTCTAGGAAAATACATCAGCATTAATATCAAACTCCACATAAGAATTTTTCATCTCTTAACTACTAGTATGTTAACCCCTTAACTGCCGCGGAAAACGTACAAGATTCATTTCCCAGTGCAACGGTTTTTCACACAGTCGTGCATAGTTATGCGATGTATTAGGGGGAAAATAAGTGCAAGTTTTACTTTCTGAAAACGGTTTACTTGCACAAAATAATAAATAAAAAAAATGAATGCACAAAATTTAATGTTTTGAGTAAAAGTATATAAAAGGATATAAGTATTAAAAGTAATAAAAATGATGTTTTTATAATAAAAAAAGATTCCTAAAATGAAGTTTCGATCAATTCATTTTTAGACCAGTAAAGTGTAATACCGTCAAAAGTCTTATCCGGACTCGTCGGGACTTCGGCAATTCCGGATATCGATCATCAGTTTTAATCTGGTAAGATGGCATGCAGAAATTATAAAATTAAAATATGAAACCGTAATTTATAAAATAATGAGCAATTATGATCTAAAGGTATCAAAATTTACAAAAAAAGAACTTAATATTTATTTGTTTACCTTTATTAAACATTGCTTCAATGCGCGCATGGTAAACATACCTTACGCATAGCTGAAATTAGAAATTGCAACCAGAAAACTATTGATTGTATTCGTAATATTTATAATGACGAGGAATTTGATTTAAATCATATCAAAGACGGAGTACATCGAGATGAAATACCACATTTAGTACGGAATTATAAGCCGAATAAAATAAAAACATCTGCCCTGAAGATGAAGATAGTGCTGACAGATCAACTTCCAGTTCATTGCGCGCCGCGACGTCCCCCCCCCCTGCGCAGAGCAGCGTGAAATTGATAAACAGATTTTGGAACGGTTAGATAAACAAAGGATGTGCCTTTATCCATTTTTTGCAGCAATTCCACTTTTTTTTTTCATGAACATCGAAACATAGTTTCGTTTTCTAGATCCTTTGGGAGCTCCAGCATCGGAAATTCTATTTGACATAATCGAAAGTTCAAGCTTACTTTATAAAATTGCTCTTCAGTCTGCAAAAAATAATAAGCCGGATCCAATCGAAGATTAAGGAACAACGCAATGATCAACATTAACTGAAATAGATAATTAGATAATTTTAGCTTATACTGTCCGTTATACATTAAACGCGCACGCGTCAACGCGGTGCATGCGCAGAAAGACTTTAGCTTTGAAGTCCGGATTATAGATCATTCCGGATTATGGGTGTCCGAATTAACGACTTTTGACTGTATCAGGTTTCAGTGTTCTACCTTGTGAAATCAGTATGCCTAAAAAAACGTATATTTCTTCTGAACTGGTTGAATGCCACGATTTTATTCTTGATTTCTTGTTTGCAAGGTGTTGGTTCATATACTCTTCTACAAAAGGGTTAGTTTCAGTAACAATACGAAGCACTCGCACTTCATCAAAAAATAATTCAAAAAAGATAAATGGGTTTGAAACGTCCGTTATACCTTTCTTTATTTCTGTAACCTACTACAAAAGTAAACGAAAATGGAGGACACTGAATTAAAAAAAATACGTTTTACTGAAACATCAGCCAATACCGCGCAGTCATTACCTTCACCGCTTTAGACACACCCCTCTCTCCAATTTCTCCCCACATTTCTCTGAAATAGTCTCCTCCTTTGCATACTTTGTCAAGGTCATTGTGGTGTTGCATTCCCAATCTCTGCGAATAATTTTATGGATAACAGCGCAAAGCAAATGATAGTAGTTTGGAAGGGCGTATATATATATATACCCGGGGCAGTTAACGCATCGGCTGAGCAAGGCGTATATATATGCCTGTGGCAGTTAAGGGGTTAATAGTTCATAATATCTATAAATTAAAAAACAAACACATGTTGATGTCTCATTCACAAATTAACAACTATTACGTCAAGGTACAAAGGCTTTACAACTATTATATCAAGGTACAAAGAAATGACAGCATTAACCCTTTGAAGGGCACCGCAATTTTTTAACCTCCAAAAAAATGCTAATTTTTCTCTACCTAAAGTGTCGTAAGTGTCTAGTGTTTCCTTTTGATTCTAAATGGCAGCATCACCCTATAAATACTCAATATTTTTCAGGTATTGGAATTAATATACCTCAGTCTAAGGTATCATGTTTGAAGATTGATAAATTATATTGGAGGGAAAGAAAAAAATTCAAAATCTGGAAATATATGACGAACACATGCTGAATCTTATACATTTACTTCATTTCAGTTAGAAGTGATAATTAACAGAATATTATTTAAATGATTTTAAAACCGGTATATAATATATACCAATGCCCACACTGAGGATACCATGCCAATAAATGGCAGCACCAGTCTTCAGAATTCCTTTATAACCGTTTATGAAGTAATAATTTTTTATGATTAATTTATAAGTTGTTTAGGATTCAATATTATGTTCATGAAGGTATGGGGAGTTTACTGACCCAACACTAGAACTGAATACAAGTATATTAGCTTCTTTTTATTCCACTTGAGTCTCTCTTTGTTTAGCTAAAATTTTAATTTCAGACTTCACCCTTTCCCAAGAGAAAGACTCATCGATTTCAAAATTTCCATCTGGGGTCAAAATTTTACATAATTGTAGGAGTTAAATGTGGCATATTAGCCCCCAAAATACACCCGTTGTTTCATGTTTTCCAAAATCCTACAACGCAAGGATAATGAAGAGATGATTGACAACTGATTTGTCATTCGGGAGTCACGCCTTCTTCCCTTTGTGTGGTGTGATAAGATCACACAATGAGACGGCTCACTTAAAAATACGGGAAATGGAAGTGCACTTAAGGTCCATCTCTTAATGTAATAACAAAATCTGCTGATTTGAAAGCATGCTTTTATTCTTATCGTCTTTTTTAATTTCAGATGAAAGACTAGGGAATGCAAGAGAAATTTGCTCTCTGGGATAGAATACAAATAGTTTTTTTTTTTTTTTTTTAATAAATTTCACAGTTGGTGAAAGGAGGGAAAATATTTCTAAGGCTCATTTTAGATGCAAACTAGAATTTACCAAAAGTTGAAAAGGAGCCCCTAGGAAGCCAAAGGGGTTGAAAATCAAAATAAGAGCTTTGAGGTGTATCAAATAATAAAACTGTTTAACAGCGTTTCTTCCTGAACAAAAAGATATATTACAATCTATATTTACAAAAAATAAGAAAGGGGCTCTTACGGTCCTCGATAATCTGAAGTGTGTGGGGAGGAGCGATACTTGATATCATAGCATGAACCATGGCTTTTTTACATATTATCTCAAGCATAAGATATAACTTCAAAAATGCAATATCTTTCTCATCTGAGTCATAGCATTTCATTTTTCAATTTTTTAATTCTTCAGCTGAGTTATATCTCGTTGTAATACAGTCAAAAGTCATTAATCTGGACTCGTCGAGACTTCGGCAATTCCGGATTATCGATTTTTCCGGATTATAGATTAGCAGCTTAAATCTGGTAAGATGGCATGCAGAAATTATAAAATTTTAAATATGAAACTTTAATTTATGAAAAAAGAACAATTATGATCTAAAGGGTATCAAAATTTACAAAAAAAAAGCTTAATATTTATTTGTTTACTTTATTAAACATTTCTTTCAGTGTAAGTTGTTTAAGTTGCTTCGTTTTATGTGATAATACTTTCTCTTTAATTCTTAAACAACATAATTTCTTGTTCAGTTACAAGTTCCGCTGTTCAAGTCCTATAATGCTGTGTCAAGATACCGACTAATTTGTCAATCGAAATTTTTTCGTTTTCAAACCTCTTGTCCTTTCTTCACTATCGGAAGTAAATTATAATGACGAGGATTTGATTTTAAAATCGTATCAAAGACGGAGTACATCGAATGAATACTACATTTAGTAAGGATTATAAGCCAATATAATAAAAACATCTGCCCTGATATAAGGATAGTGCTGAAGATCAACTTCCAGTTCATTGCGCGCCGTGGCGTGTCCCCCCTCCCCCGCCGCAGCGCAGTGAAATGATAAACAGATTTCGAATGGTTAGAGATATGCCTTTATCCATTTTTTGCAGCAATTCCACTTTTTGTTTAATGGACTTCGAAATACTTTCGCTTTGTAGATCCTTCACATATTTAATATATATCGGAATTCTGTTGACATAATCAAAGTTCAAGCTTACTTTTATAAATTGCTCAGCAGTCTGCAAAAAAATAAGAGCCGGATCCATTCGAAGATTAATGGAACAACGCAATCTGAACATTAACGGAATTGATAATTTTCGCTTATAACCGTCCATTATACATTAAACGCGTATGCGTAAACATATTATGCGCGCACGCACATCACAGCCCGTAAAGGTCTTACATCAGCCAATGTGACCCATCGCAAAAGTTTGTAGCTTTGAGGTCCGGATTATAGATCATTCCAGATTATGGGTGTCCGAATTAACAACTTTTGACTGTATTATACTAGTTAAGTTACAGCATGATACAATTTACACATGCAGTGTTGTATTTGCTAATTTTTTTAAATAAAATAATAACATTGAATTTAAATCAAGTTCAAGAGCTTTTTATCTATATTTTACATAAGTATGTTCAGCTGGGTGGCATCATCAATGTGCATAAAAACATAAATTTTATTTTTAAAGTTTTAAATTTCCACCGAAATTTTAAAAGTTTTTGTCTTCAGACTTGCATAACTATATTCAAGTACCCATCTCTACAGATGCACATCAAAAGAATGCAAAATTAATTTTAAAACCAAAAATGAGCTATTAGCAGCTATCTGGGAAAAAATGTCTTAGAGGGGCGCCAGTATAAAATATATACCGGCTCTCAAATTTAGGATTTCATTCTAGATTTTTTTTAAGTCTCAATTTTGTGTCCTTAGGTTCCACAAGTTACAAGTTCATGAAAAATTTTATCATAATTTGAATTATTTTATATACCACCCCTCAAAGGGTTAAACAAATCATTTTAAACTTATTTGTAGGCAGTCATTTTATTTAGTACAGTAACGCTGGTGCATATCAGTCCACAATATAAGTCTGCAGATTTTCATCCAGTAAAAGAAATAGATATGAATTTTGAAAGTAACACAGAAAATATGAAAATGTTGAAAACTGCTTAGAGCAGTTTTAAGGTAGAAAAGGTAGATTTTATACTAACAGCAGAAAAGGTAGATTTTATACTAACTTCCAGTGCCTGTTTTAATCTTTTAGCTGAAGTTGGGGGAATTAATGCTTGACTACCTAATAAGAAGAGAGGTCTCTTGGATTTTGACAGCAACTCTTGGGCTTTTTGAACTAGTTTTGAAATATAAATACATATTATATTAAAAGCAGGAACTAACAAGAGAAATATTTAATTAAGTAAAACAGAAAATACTTAACAATAAACTCAAAAACAATTGATTTCATTTCACAAAGAACGCAAAATCATATAATTACTATAAAAATACACATGGCAAAAAAAAATTATATATATACACTTGCCTTGATGATTTGAAGCAAGTGGGAAATGTACAGGCAAAGGTGATGTATTCCTCTCAATAAAACCTGAAGCAAACTGATAATGTAAAAAAGCTTTTAAATACCTAAAAAATTAAAAATACATATTAAAAGTCAATTTTACTATTTTACCCTAAAACCAATAAATATTGACTGAATAATGAGATTCATAAACATGCATATGACCCTGCTAAAAATCAATCAAATTAAAAATATTAATATTCTGAGCAAAATTTACAAAATGGCATCATGTACAAGTTCATTTCAAGAAAAAGACAATCCTATGCCTCTTAACCACCTTCAAATGGACAAGGTTTCCAAATAAAACTCCTCTCATATGATGAAAAGAAGCCAAAGTCTACATTTTTCCTGCCCAATTCTGTATCCATATTAATACTAAAAGCAGCTGTAGTCCAACTTTGTTTATTTGCCTCACCCTCAATCAAATGACCATAGTTAAGCAGGGAGTATTAACACGTCTCAGTCCTTTGTCCAACAGGCTTCCATAATGACAAGAAAGATTTAACTGGAAGTAGATGTACACCAAATTTTAGTGGTTATCGCAGTGTTGGTCATATAACAGAACCTAATTTTAAAATGTGTACGCATTTTATCAATGTGTATAACATCAACACTGCTTTGAACTTTTAACTTCCCTATTTGGAAGATTATTTACTATTATTTGTCGAATTTAGACAATTGATCAAAAATTTCAAAACATCACAATTTTTCTTTATTTAAAGCTTCGAAAACCTCTCAAAAGGGGAAAAAAAAGCTGAAAACGTTTCAGTCATCAAAACCAAGCAACCAGTACAGGAACTTTTTATTACCCTCAGTCAAAATGAGAGACTCATTACAGAATGGGAAAAAAAAGAAGACTAGAATCTCCTGCAATCAAAAAGACCCCCTGCTACATTCAGACATTTCTGGCATTGCCCTGTATTACAATAAAAATACTCAAAAGGAAAGATGCAGATTAAACAATCTTTACAATAATAAAAACTTTCAAAACATAAACAATTCAAGAAGATAATAAAAATTTATAATTTCTCTAGTTATTTATTCATCAGACAATAAAGTTTTTAGATTCAATCTCTGTTTCAAGGTTAAAATTACATTTCAAAAATAAAACTACTGTTTGTTGCAACAACTTATGGAAACGAAAATATATAGTAAAGATTTTCTGATATTGCATGATAAGTGAAACCCATAGATTATTCTTCAAATTCTTCCAAAGAATTATCTAATGAATAATGCAAAACAATTTAAAGAATAATGTCTAAATATGTTCACTATTATTCTTTTCCTTCTTTTATTCTCAGAATATAAATAATATTGATAAATAAAAACTTCATTTTCTATAGCTTCTTTCACAGTAATTTCATCAGTTTTGAAATTTGAAGTCCCCATCACTGGCAAAATAATTCAACCTTACATGTATCTTACGTACTTTTTAATAGCAGTTCCACACATGCATCATTAGGATATCACTTTGAAGTCAATAATGCAGAAGGTAATTGCAAAAGGTCTTTTAATCTTTTATCAGTTATGAATTCCATTACATAATTTAGTGATTCATCTTTGATATAGTCTTAGAGAATGTATGTAGTGATTACAGGCATCCTGAAATGTATTCTAATTTGCTCATTGTTTTCATGTATGTTTGCAATGTTAAATCTTATTTCTTTTCCCTAATGCATCGATCTGAGTAAAAACCAGATCTTTTATTTTCATGAAAGAAGAAAAAAATTCTTAAAACAACTACGGTACAAAGTCCGAAATCCGGACTAGTCGGAACTTTGGCGATTCTGCATTTGGGATTTTTCTGGATATTAGATCATCAATTGAAATCTAGTAAGATGGCATACAGAAATTACACAAGTAAAAATATGAAATCGTAATTTATAACAATTATGATCTAAAGGATATCAAAATTTACAAAAAAAGGCTTAATATTTATTTGTTTACTTTATTAAACATTTCTTTCAATGTAAGTTGTTTAAGTTACTGCCACAAAAAATTCAAAAAGTTCCTTTTTCTTTTTTCTTATGTCATATACAGTTCACTTTCCAATACCATACTCCTCGCATAATTTTGAGACGGATATGCCTTTATCCATTTTTTGCAGCAATTCCACTTTTTGTTTAATAGACATCAAAACATGGTTTTGCTTTGTAGATCCTTTGGCAGCTCCAGAATTAGAAATTCTTTTCGACATAATCGAAAGTTCAAGCTTAGTTTTTATAAAATTGCCGTAATAATAACAGTCTGCAAAAAATAATAAGCTGATTCAAATTAGAAGATTAGGGAGCAGCGCAGTCTGCTACATTAACTGAAATGCCTTAGAATCCGTCAAGATAATTTTAGCATAGTTTAACCTTTTACACACCAATGTTCCATAAATAGAACATCAAATTTAAAATTTTATAAAAAACACAATTTTATTAATATTGATTTGTATAAATTATTACATGGAAAGTAAATATGGATTGATGTTTTAGTAGCAATATAATTCTTCTAAAAGGAAAATTATCTTGATAAAAAAATTCATTATTTCACCTTTTTTCCTTCTTTTCTAAGAGCAAAATCCAAAAATTCATATAAAATTAAAAATTCAACAAATGTTTTTAAAACTCAATGAGGATATTTAAAAAGGATCATTTTATGCATAAACCGTAAGTTATCATAGAAAGATGATTATTATTTTTTACTATGAGGTAAGAAATGTGATGTTCCAGAAAGGGAACATTGGCGTGTAAAGGTATATTTTTTAACATGATGAAATTACTTTGATTGCCGTGAATAGAGGCATGGAGAAAGATTTTCAAACTGTGAAACGTTCCAGTAAGTGTGGAAAACAGACGTTTATGACTGTTAATCTGTTTTCGACTCCCGTATATCTCCCTCCTCTCCTTTCACACATTCCCATAAGGAAGTGAGTTATTCACAGCTGCTAGAGAAAAGCATGTGGCGTTTCTTGATAGGCTAGACGCTAGAGCTTGTTTATGACTCAGTGAAAAAGGCATATATTTTGGAATGTGGATTTCATTATTTTCCCATTGTTTGCATTTTTTTCAGTTCTTGAAGATACGCTACACTGATAAGATGGCTCATTCAAACCATCTCAGTCTATTGAAGAAGCATTGGTATATTTTTATACATTATCAGATGATGAAGAGTGTATTGATATTTGTCAACTGCTTCCAAAAGAAACTGGATGTTTGACAGACGAGGAAGATGTAAATGCAGATTCTGTCAGCGGATGTATGTGAAAAAATCGAAATTCCTAATAAAATGGATGATGAAATATCTCAAGAAATTTCATTCGATCCTCAAGAACCTTCATCTTCAAAGAGAAGGAAGAATTTGAAGCGAAAACTAAATGTGAAAGAGAAAAACAGTGAACATCGGTGGGGGAAAAATTTTAATTTTAACAAAATTCTAAAAACTGGCAGCATTGAAAATATTTGCGAAGTGTTTCCTGAACTAGTTACTTTATCTCCAGTTGAAAATTTTCACAAATTCCTAACTAGAGAATATTTGCTGCATTTAGCAAATATGATAGGTCTTTACGCGATGCAGAAAGGAGAAGTTTTAGCAGTAAATGAAAATGATATTGGACAGTTTTTTGGATTACTGTTGTTTAGTGGGTATCATGGAGTACCCGGCGAAGATTTATACTGGAGCACTCAAGAAGATTCATCTGTCCTAGTAGTAGTTTCTTCTGTAATGCCAAGAAATAGATTTTGAAAACTGAAAAAATATTTTTATATTATAAATAATACCAAGTTGGCATTAGGAGATAAAACAGTAAAGGTTTCTCCTTTTTATGAAGAAGTGGAAAAAAACTTTCAACGGTTCGGCATCTTCCATTCCTGCAGTGTGAATTTTTGTATGGAGATTATTTGTTACTTATTTCAACAACTCTTTTCCTTGTTTCAGTATAAACTGCTAACAGTTAATATAGAATTCTTTTATAAATTTTTGCTTATCAACTATGTAATTTTTGTTTTAATTTATTACAAAAGCTTTTTTCTGTGGAAGCTTCATATCTTCTCCTAAGAAATTTTGGTGGAGTAGCTTTGCGGTTATAAAGGTGTAGGCTCCCTAATTTTCTGCTTAATCTATGTTACTTCCAAATAACATTGACAAATTCACTTGCTAATGCTGCAAAACAGCAGACAAAAATGAAGCTTCAAATTAGAATGTCGATAATCATGTTTTACAAAAATCATGTAAAAAAACTGTTTCCCGCCAATGTTCCATTTATGGAACATGTCATAAATCATTAAAAACATTTTTTTTATCTTTTTTCATAATTCTTATATTTGAGTTTTAAATCGATTTTTCACAACAAAATGTTTACTTTACTTTCGCATCATAGTTTGGCGTGTGAAAGGTTAATAGCATCCGTTACACATTATTAGCTGTGTATCACAAGATTAGCGACAAAAGCCAAGTTGTTTTGCTAAATTTTGTCTTGCTCATATTGCGTACTGAATTAAGCCTGAATTGTATTAGCTTAGTTATTTACTATAACTACGCTTATTTCTTGCATATGCTTAAAACTAATCTGAGTCCTAAATAAATAAACTCACACATATACTTAAAGCTTTATCTAGGGCCCGGCACTCGATACCACCTGGTGCAGTCTCTACGGGTCCTAAATTCTGCTAAAAGTGCTTTCCTAAGTTCTAAATTTTCATCGCACTTAAACTTTGGATCCCAGTGCTTTCCCTAAATCATAAAAACTTCTCATCCGTTAATTTTGCCACTCGGTGCTGCCCCAAATTCCAAAAATTTCGTCTTCCCTCAATTCCTTTTCTAATTTTAACCTTTTCTAATTGGAAGCCAATATTTTTAAGGATTAGCATTTAATTTACATTTACTATTTACTTCAGAATTTTTTCCCTGCTTTTTTGGTTTAGAGGGCGGTTAATGCCTGACAAACTACAAAAGTTGCACTTACCACTTAATGCAACTGCTTCGGCTTTCAGCTCCTTCAGAACTTTAAACATTGGGGTGGTAATAACATCCTCTTCTATAACTAGACGGCGTTTCTGGTGGTATCTAAACTGGCTCGTAC